CTGAGTTTGATCCCTGGTACCAAAAAAAAAAAAAAAAAAAAACCCAACTGGGAGCTTTCTGAAGCTGCTCACAGGCTGTGTTTCTGTTTGTATGGAAGCCCGGGCAATGGAACCTGGGTCCTCACACGTGCTAGCTGAGCTAACACCCTCTGCCCTGAGCCACTCAGTTTTGCTTTTGTAAGAGAAGAAACTCCAGGAATTGCCCACGGTACTCTGAGCTGTCCACTCACTCCTGGGGCTCCTCGGCGCTCCACTCCTGGAACCAGCAAGCCTTGCATGTGGGGGACACAATGCCTTTGCCCCCTAATGTGTCCTCATGCCCGTGCGACCCAGCCTCAGCCCTGACAGAGCTGAGCCATGAGACGAACACCCTGGCCTCCTCTCCCCAGCCCGCAGCCCTTCCTCCCGCACCCACAAAGGCAAACCGAAGCTTATCTGATGGGGGAGTCTGGGGAGCTCATCTGCCCCATCCTGCCTCCCTCCTCTCCCTGTCCACCCTGCAGAGGCAGGTGGCTGCCCAGAGCTACCTGTCCCCCGGGAGTCTGCCTGCTTCTCGTTCTAGTTCAGGCGACTGCCTGCCCAGTGTGTCTGTCGCTTCTACCACAGAAACAGACGGCACTTATGGGGTCGCCAGAGGGATTAAGGTCTCTGCCCTGGGGGAGACAACAGTAGACCCAGCGGGGAAAGGCTGCAGTTTTCTCTCCCCCAACCTCACCTTGTCAGTGGGCCTCCCCGGCCAACTACACAAAACTGCTAGGCCCCACCATCCGCACCCGCAGTCCCTGTCCCACACCCTGCTCTACTCTTCCCAGGGAACTCAGGCGCTCTGACTTGCTCTACACCGACTTATTTGTTCAGTCTCCCGGCCACACGGGAGCTGTGGCCCTGAGCGTAAGCTCCCTGCGGGCAGGAACTGTTCTGTTCCGCCATTTATGGCTCAACAGCTACGTGGATGGAAGAAGGAGCCAAGGAAAATGTGCTACCAAAGACAGAGGGGGGCAGGTGGTGGCAAAGACAGGGGCTGGCGTGAGGGCTGCTTTAGAAAAGGGCTCAGAAGATGAGCGACACCCCATACCTTTCAGGGGGCCAGGGAACAGTGGCTGGGTGAGCTGGACATCTTGAGAAAGAGGGATGAGATGGCCACCAGGTCCTGTCAGTGCCAAACATTGTCCTAGGACTCCTGGCCCAGTCCCGTCTGGCTCAGAAGTCAGCAGAGATGAAGACATTACGAACCTCATTCAAAACCAAAGCCACAACAGCAGTGGGCTGAACCCGGGTAAACAGCCACATAGATGTGATGGCTGGAGCTCTGGCAGCCATCCTGGACCACAAAGACAAGGTCCATTCCCTAAATGACATAGCAAGCTGGAGGGAGCCTAGGGGCCTGGTGGTTTCATGAGGCCCCTGTGCCAGCCAGGAACGCTCCCTGTAGACCTCATTTAGATGAGAACCCTAAGCTTGTTGAAGCCAGAACTATGGGGGAGTCCATGGTATATTCTGTCAAACCTGGTGTAAAGGAAGGCTCATCGAAGAGTAAGTCCTGACCTTGGTCTTCCGGGTGTGGAAGTCCCCTTGCCAGAATGGAATCACAGAGATAATCCACGAGAAGGGGCAGCCTGTCCCACAGCTCGGGGACAAAAGGCTGGCAAGGATGTGAGCTGCCAGGAGCCTAGGAGGCTGGGATGATCTGGCACTTATCTTACAAAGGAGAAGAGCTCCTTAAAGAGGAAATGCAGCACTGGGGGGAAAACACTGGCCCAGGACTCGGCCCAGCCTCGTGCAGTCAGCAGCTCCCCACCGGCCCTCCAATTTCCTCACTTCCTCAATTTCCAGAGCTATGTGTTCTTAAAGATCACTTCCAGTGGGATGCAACCCGGTGACAATGTCTAGCTTCCTTCCTCCTCATCAATACTGAAGAAATCATTCTCTGTATAAAAGTCACTTGCATATGGAAGTTATGGTGTGAGGTGCTGGGGACACAGCATTTAAAAGATGTCAGGGTCTATGCCCTTCAGGATTTATCATCTAGCAAGGTAGACAATTAACCCAATAATTAGGTAAATACCACCGTGATGTTACCAAGGAAAAAGACTTGGAACTAGCAGAGTGTATAATGGGGGGCTCCCATTATACTTCAGCTGAGCCCTGAAAGCTGATGGGGGTGGAGGATATTCCAGGCAGAGGGAAAGACATGTGTGGAGTGGTTCGTGGGAGAAGCATTCAGACCCAAGAAGAGTTAAATCACAAAGAGAGTGAAGCAAGTCTCTTAGAACCACCCATTCAAAGAAATAAGGGGCACCTTTCATCAAAAACAAGGTCACATAACATGAACTCAAAAGTCATGGGTGCGGGCTGGGGATTTAGCTCAGTGGTTTCGCCGCCTGCTGCACAAGGACCCAAGTTTGATCCCTGGTACCAAAAAAAAAAAAAAAGTCATGGGAGCAATCTGACCCCCAAAATGGTAAACCCTCCCCTCCCGCTGCCAGCTGGAAGAAGCCCCCAACCCTCACCCCCATGCCACAGCAGATGAGGTAGCAGTTCCTTGAGATCCTCTCCAGCTGCCTCCAGGCCCTCCCTGATTGAAGACCATGGCTGTCAGGACCGGGTCCTGCAAGAGGGGGCAAGAACTGGAAACACATACTCCGAGACAGGAGCCTGGTCCTGAGGCTGGACCTATCCCTGGGTCACTATTTCCAGTGCCAACTAAGTGCCAAGCATCGTACACATGAACTGTGACTGAAAACATATGGTGAACATTCAAATTTTTAAAAATTTATTACAGTACAAGTGTCTTTAGTTATGCTGCTGTGGCTGCCTCAATGTCCTGAGTGGATTCAAAACATTGACCTTTCAAGGTCATTTTGACTTTGGGGAAAAGTCAGAAGTCACAGGGTGCCAGATCTGGTGAATAAGGTAGGACTGTGATGCTTTCACAAGCCTGCCTTTCCATTGGCTGGCACTCAGTAGCAGCAGTCACCATGTTTTTGATCACACTTCATAAAAACATTCATGAGAAAGGACTTCTCGGACAGCTTCAGAAAGTGACAATGACGATGGAATGAGTATGTTCCAAGTGAGAGGCAATATTCTGAGGGGGATTCATGGCAATATGTCTTTTACTGTAATGACTTAAAATCTAACCATTCACTGTGTATTTCAATCACACCTCACAGGGTCAGGTGGAAAGACTTGATACAGTCTTGATACAGGTGCAGGGAGGTACAAAATAGAAGAGGAGGAAGACACAGCCTTCCTCCTCGGGGCTTCCCGAACAGCTCTAGGAACAGGACAGAGCATGAAGATGGGAAAGACTTGGAAGAGGGAGAAATACTCCAACGTAGGAACAAAATAAGTAGAGGCACACAGTGCGCCTGCATGAGTAGCAAGAGCGGCGCTGGAGCTCAGGATGAGAAGGCAGAGGCTGGCAATGATGTGAAGTAGGCCCAGGCTGCTACCTGACTCAGTAGGTGGAGATGGCAATGCTAGTCTTCACCATGGGTTTGGAGACCTCATCAAACCCCAGATCTCCCCAGACTGGCCCTATGGCTAAAGGCCCTTGACTCCTCCCTTGTGCTAGCACCAAGTTTCTCAATTGTTAAGAGTCCTAAGAATCACCTGGGACAGGTTGCGCTACCTCCAGAGACTCTAGTTAGGTAAATAGGAATGAGCTCCAGGCCCAAACCCCAGCAGAAATCAAAGGTTCCTGCAGCCACCAGCTCCAGGACCAGGGGGATTCTTGGCCTCCTATAGGATGAGGTCCTGGACCAGCTGTCCCCTCTTGGTCACAGTGGGTGACTGATGCACTCATCTGTCCTGTGCAGGGGACAGATCCTCGATGCAGTGGAGAAGCAGGAATGGAGAGCTATGGAGTGTTGAACATGGACTGGTCCCAGGATCTAGGGACATTCTCAGGGATAGTGACAGCTAAGTAGAGTGGCCAAGGGCCCAAGAAAGAAGAGACATTCTGGGCAAAGGGCACAGCTTGTGTAAAGCAGCATTCAACACACTGACGCAAAAAGTACAGAGAGAGGAGTAGAGGTGAAGCCAGAGGGTCAGGTTCACAACAGCCCCACCAAGAAACCAAGACTTAAAACAAAGCAACAAGGAGCTGCCGCAGATCCCTGAACCCTGCGAGGTCCTGGGTGAGCTGGGCTCAAATACAGGGAACACTGCTCTCTCCTCACTGCCCTTCGCCTGCCGACATCAGTCTCCATGCTTTAAGGTCACCCACTCCTACCCAAAAGCAGGTTCAGACCCCTCCTGCACAACTGTCAAGTCAACCGTAAGAACCCAGTCCGGAAAGCAGGTGGTGGGTGAGCAGAAGGAGAGATGGAAGCTGCCACCCAAGCAGGTTGGTGCAGCCTGGGACCAGGCAGCTAACTGCTCTCCTTGGGCCACATTGGCACCTCTCTGGGCTTTCTCTTCCTAGAAAGAATCTGCGGCTTCTCTAGGTGGGTTCAGGATCCTTGAGGGCAGGGGAGAAAGGGCCACAGAGACAGAGACACGATATGGTCCCCACTGGGTTTGACCATATCCGACTCACTTCAAGCGTTACTGAGAAATGCCAGGGCAACTTGGACGCCCCCAGGGGCCTAAGATCCTGAATTTGCTCAAATGACCACTGATTCCTTCACGTGACCAGTTCCATCCTCACCAGTCAACACAAAAAGAGGTGCAGATTGGAGGCGCTGCTAAATTCTGCAAGCTTGTAAAATAGGGGCGTGCTGATTCTCCAGGGGGCAGCACTGGACGGGGAAGAGGGGAGGGAGGGGCCAGAGAAAGCCGCAGCCCCACTTTTGCACCAGGTAGCCCTCGGACTCGCGGACACCGTGAACGCATTCTCGGCCCGGAGGAGATCAGACTCCAGGCGTTGGAAGTAGGCAGCGCAGGGGAGGACCCCGCCACCCCTAGCCCGGCCAGCGGCGCACGGTGAGGCACCAGGATCGGGTGCGGGCCGCACCCCGGAATCGGAAGCGGTCCCCGGCTGCGGCCCGGCTCACCTTGCACTTGAAGCCAGCGGCGGGCGGCAGGAGCTCCCGCAGCAGGGCCTTAGCCACCTCGCGGCTGGCCTCCTCGCTCACGAAGTGAAGGTTCAGCACCTCGTGCGCCTCGAACTTGGCGAGGCGCAGCAGTGAGCGCAGCGCGACGCGGGCCTTGGCCTGCAGCGCGGCGTTGTGCTCTGCCTTGGTGAACATCATCAGCAGGTGATAGTCCACCGGCCCGGGCGCGCCGCCCTCCAGACTCTTGGCCTTGGCGCCCGGGGCCGGCGCCACGGACCCCCGCGCCAGCTCCAGCACCGGCGGCGAGGGCGCAGCGGGGGCCCCGGCGCGGGCCTCCTTCAGCCTCTTGGTGGCGCTGGAGAAGGTCTCACGCCCGGAGCCGAGGTAGTAGAAGGCACAGACGGCGAGTGCCGCGGCCAGCAGCAGCGCACAGTAATGGGAGCGCACGGCGCCCAGGCGCGCCATGGCCCGGGCGCACGGGGGCGCGCCCCGCAGGAGGCCCATGCGCCACGGCCAAGGGGACCCGACCAGCGCGGCGCCCGGCAGCACTCCGGCCCGCGACCGGCGGCGGCCATGGCGGGGGCGGAGCCGCACAGCTCAGAACCAATCTCGGGCGCCGCCCGCACGAGCTCCGCAGCCACCGGGTCCTAAACTCACAAGGATTAGCACCCCGCAGGCCTGCTCCACCGGCTGGCTGGCTGGCTGGGGACCCCTGCTCTTAACCTGCCCAGCCTGCTGCCAGCGAAGCTGAGCCACGAAGAAACTGTGGGTCCCCAACGCAGGACCTTCGGTTAGCCTAAAGAAACGCTAGACCAAGTAAAAGGAGTAATTTTATCTCTGCACTTTCCCCTTAATTTTGGACTGGCTTCAACTAGCTTGGGTGGGAAATTTAAACTAGCGAAAATTAAAAGCAGCTAGAACAGTGCTAACACTTAGTACAGAATAAACTTTGCCAAACTCATTTTTTTAAAGTCTAAATATCCAACATGTGCAAAAAAACATATTTAGCAACCAGAGCTTTTCTAGGTTATCTATAATGTTAAACATCAAAGCTCTAATAATTACATCTCTACATAACAGGAAGAAATAATTCTGGAATTATGCCTGTAGGTCCCCCACATATACCAACAGGTGGTTTTTCCTTATGTCACTTATTCTAGAATTTATTTAACAAATGCTTTATTTTCAGACCCCTGAAATTTATATGAAATAACACGACTGGGCTGGGGATTTCGCTCAGTGGTTTCGACGCCTGCTGCGCAAGCGCAGCGACCCAGTTCGATCCCCGGTACCAAAAAAAAAAAGAGAAAGAAATAACACGACCACTTAAATCATAAACCCAGGAAAATAAATACCCCAAAGAATGATTTTATCTCTAAGTTGTAGTTTATTGCTCCCTGCTCTTTACCCATAAAGGAAAAGTAATGTGTGGCTCCCTGACTGGAAACTACAACACTGGCGTAGTAGCACTCGGACAAAGCAATGAAAACACCAAACCCCCTGCACTCAGATAGCATCCAACGTACCTGTGGCAACAATATAGGAAAAAGTGTGTACTATGCCCCATGGTGATATATGCTACTTTCTAGGCTTAAAATATTCTTGGGTGTATCATAACATGTGTTAAGTACACAAAGAACAGTAACCCTGCAGATCAAAGTTGAACTTTGTCAAAAGGTGGTGGGCCACGCCTGTAATTCCAGCACTTGGGAGGCTGAAGCAGGAGGATTACCACGAGTCTGAGGCCAGTGTAGGCTACACAGTGAGCTCAAAGCTGGCCTGAACTAGATAGCAAGACCCTGTCTCAAAAAAAGAAAAAAAAAAAAATAACAAAAAAGGTTGAACTTTAGCTGAGTTCTCTGATTTATGACCAGGGATTAGGCAATTGGTTTTTCGTGTTGTGTAATCTCCACATCTGCAAAGCTGGGTAGATATCCAACCTCTCCAGCCTCAGTTTGATTTTCCTGTCACTGACTACTAGCGGTCTCTAAACCCCTCCTCCTCCAGTGTCTGGGAGAGGTCACCCCCTCAACCATTCCACGTTGGCCACCCACATACATCACCCCAGTCCCAACTTCCCCACAGTAAGGAGACTCCAAGAACTGGGGGTATTGTCTGCTATTTAAAGCAACAATATCTCTGGTACCTAACACAGTGCCTGACACATTGAATGAGCCTCAAAAATAGTATCTACCCATCGAACCAGCATTTTCACTTCAAGGAATTCATCCTAATAATTAAGAATGTACTAAAATATCTAGCTATCTGAACTAGGTTTATGACAACAAGAAATTGAAACCAAACTATCATTAGTAAAGTGGTTAAACTAAAATAATGAAATCATTAAAAAATGTATTCAATAAACTTCAAGTAGAAATATTTTTAAATGGAGGGAAAACCTATATTAGATACTGAAGAGACATATTAGCTCACTGGAACTTAAATGAATTCTGATTTCAATAGTCTATTTTTGAAAAATCACAGTTGAGACAATTGGGAAAAATCTAAATACTATGTTATCTTAATAGTTTAAAGAAGTCATACAATTATTAGAGTTATCTTTTAAAGATTCTCACAGAATGCTCTGTTGGTGAAATGTCTGGGATTTAGCTCAGAAAAAGGAAAGGGGAAAACTGGCAGGAGTTTAAATAAAACAATGTTAGCCATGAGCCGATGGCTATTGAAGTTATTCTACCTATGTATATGTTTGAACTATGTCACAAAATATTTTCAACTCCTACTAAGTGAGAAAAAGCAGGTCACAGAAATGGATGGCCTCACTGTATGAAGACATACCCACAGGTCTAGAAGGGTTACAGGCCACAGAAGCAGCAGCTTCTCCCCAACATTCTCCAGTGCAGCCCCAGTGAGGAATGTGCTGTGATTGCCCTGTTCAAAGCAATGGTCACAGGTGGCTCCGTTCTTACAACTGAATAACTGAACTGAGTCTAATCCACATGTGGCCAGTGGATACCATTTTGGACAACATAGGTGCATGTCAGAATTATGGACAATTCCTTCCTTTTTACTTGTTATTTTTTTGCAACAAGGAAAAGGTGGTCTGCTTGGCTTTCCATTTAAAACATTTACTGACTACTGATGTAGATTCTCTTCTGCAGAAGACGCTTCTGAAAGTGAAATGGAGCTGAATAAAGCAAGTTACATGAAAAAGTTAATGTATATGCTTTCAATTAACTTTTTAAGAAGGCAAAAAGCAGGCAATTCACTTCCAATTCTGATTTTCCAGCTCTCCATTCCTTCAATCCCAATTCATACAGAAATGTTATTTGTTTACTAAAAGTATGGAGTATGAATGTGTTGCCTAGATCAGGAACTTTAACATATATGTCGATCATAATGATAAAAACTTAGAAGGGCCAAAAAGAAAAGAGCTTTCTATAGTTTTTCACTAATGAATTAGGAGCCAAAACCACTCTATTAACAGAAAAAAGAAATAGTTAAAAAAAATGTTTTCTAATAGGATAAATTTAAAGTGGTTGGAAAGGTATATGGTACCTTTTTTGGGGGGAGAGGGTACTAGGGATTGAACCGAGGTTCCCACACATGCTAGGCGAGCACTCTAATAATGAGCATCATCCCTAGCCCTTTCAGGGTTGTTTTGTTTTGATACAGGGTCTCGCTAAGTTGCCCAGACTGGCCTTGAACTTGGAACCCTCCTTCCTCAGCCTCCCAAGTAGCTGCGATTATAGGAGTGTTATATAGTACTTTAAATATATAACAGACGTTTACAGTGTTGTTCACAAGAAAGTGGAAGTCTGAGCATAAAAAACTGCCAGAGGTAAGATTTTTATTGACTTATTATTGTAATTTTTCAGCATACAAATTAATCAAGTATATTTACAATTCTTACATAATGTACAGTTTAGAATAGCTATAACAATAAAGTATGTACTTTGCTCCATTTACAATGATAGACTAGAGTAAAACTACATTCATGAATTAGATACAAATCCTCTACATACTAATAAAAAGTAAATGGAGTGTTGGTTATACATTCTTTAAAATATACCTTTTCACAGGTAGCAAGAAATATTACATGTAGTAGGTCTTTATGACTGGAATGATCCAAAACTATCACAAAGCACAAGTAAACACATACAGAAAAGTAGCTCACCATTTCCAAAAGTTAACCTTTACCCTTTGTGTAAAATAAATGGTGCCAACAACCTTTATAATGTACCAAGCTTTCCCTGTTGAAGATTAACACCCAAAATAGGGATTTGGGGGAGTGAGAGAAAGTAAATCTAGAAGACCAATGCAGAGAAAATTACATTTAATCAAATCCTGCTTTGTCCCCAAATTATACAATTTTAAGTGAATAAATTTAAACAGAAAATGATGTCCATAAAACCATCTTTATACACGTTAGGATTCAACAAAACTAAATCCAAGCCTCTTTTATCTCTTTCATTTGAAAGCATCAAGAAATCAGTAAATGCTGAATTAAAATTACCTTTGTAATGTTTTGTTTTCATTGATGTTTCCCATTACAAAAATGTAAATTTTCCTACAATCTGATGTTTTCAAATCCCAATCTATTCCTTCAATCCTTGTATCAAGGTCCTCCAGAACAGTTGGCATCTTTGTTATAAAATACAAGGAAAGCTGGCAGTCATTATCAGATTTTGCTGCCTTGCAATGATCTCAACATTTCATGATACAAGTAAAGTGCCTCTGACTTGCAGTTAGTCAGACCTGGGTTCTGGTGTCACCTGTGCCACCAACTTGCAAACTGAGGGACCATGTCTGTAAAACAAGGGGAGCACACTAGGATCAAAAAGCAAGGTTGAAGCTCTAAGATCTCAGAAGTCCTACGGTGAGAATCAGGCAAGATAAACTAAGATCCAAGTACACTGTAAATAGTAAAACACAAACTGATCTTTTTATATTTTCACCTTGCTTCATCCGCTCATTTCATCTGTGAGAAGCCCTGAATCAAAAAGGGTAGTGACTACTACTCCAGTGCCCTTTCCACTACATCACATAGCTCGAAAGTCATTCTGGACATAATTTCTATAAAAATATATCATTTTTCCAGCTCATGTCAAAAGTGCTATCATACAAAAGAGTTAACTTGACAATGTAAGTGTAATCTAGGAATGTTGGTTATTCCAAATGGGTAGTATATTTAATCTTAAACACAATTTGGTTTATTGTGACCATACTTAACATGCATAAAATTAATTTTTTAAATACTGCTGACATTGTCACAAACTTAAAATTTTCCAGACTGTTTGTAAAGGTCTAAATTGTTTCCTAAAATGCATTTAGGAAAAACTAAAGTACATGTTACAAATTAAGCCTGTATGTTTGGGAAAGTAAACTTCAAAGTTCATGAAAATCTGCAGTGAAAACCAGTGTAAGTTAGGCACACTGTAACACAGTTAAGTCCATGGAAATTTCTGAATTTCTAAGGATTGTACTAAAAATAATTTTTTAAACTCTAAAAATCTAACACATGGCAAATGTTACAATGAAGAATTGCAAATAACTGCTCAATTACCTCTAGTCTAATTCTAAAATGAAACTTTTTTATAAACTCTTCATAGTGCTACTATTCTTATTTTGATATTAATCCAATTTTCAAGTGAGTGGACTAAACATAATGAGCTAATCGAATAATGATAAAGAATCAAAAACTCTTATCAGATCAGTTATGGGAAGAAAATAAAGGGCAATCACATAGACTAAGAAGCCCAAGAGTAAGATTAACATGGTTTATACTACAATTTCTCATAATGCACTGAATAATTCACAGCATAACAAAACTCAGATTTGTTACATACTATACAAAAGCTATTAGCATACACAGTGAAATTCACCTAAGAGCCAACCTACCTTGTGACTATTAATTTAAAGTCTTGTGGTTTACTCCATCGTTTCTGCCAAATTTAATTCAGGTGGCGTCTCAAGCACATTCAAGAAATAAAGCCACAGTTACGTATTTTTGTAGTGCAGTCTCCCTGCAACATTAAAGATTTGGCTTTCTCTGAAAATACTCAATTCAAAACCATGACCACCTGTACGGCACTTCAGGTCCATCTCTGACCTTTGAATGTAAGTAGACACTAATTACTATCACGGTACAACTCATGATGCAAACCAAGGAGGTAAGGGTGTCACAATGAGTCCCCTCATCACCAGAGGCCCCAGAGGTGGTCTCAAGCACCAAGGACGGGGTCCAAAAGGAAACCTGACAAAGGCCAGGGGCTTTAGGAGCAACATCTAGGATTAAAACAGGAGCAGACACTATGTATAAAGGAAAAGTGAGGCTTTCTTTTCTGTCTTCCTTCCCTTCTGTTTGTTTTAATACATTTGTCTTCCTTGACATCTGTAGGTCAACTGATTTCAAAATACAATCTAATAAAAATGTTACAAGTCAGACTTTTACCTTTAAACTTAAGTATCTACAAAGCCAGATGATCTGTGACTCACATAAAAACAGGAAAAATTACTGTTTCTGCTATGTTGTAAGTAAAATATAATGCTTTGGAGGTATTTCCTCAGAAATAACTTACAACTACATTTTTATCTTTATCTAATATACAGTGACTATTATTAGTAAATAAGCATTACATGCTTGCAATTTGACCCAATTATGGAACCTTTTCTATGATGTGAATTGATTTCAGTATAATTCCTGCTTAGATTCTGATTTGGTGTTTAATAAACTTATAGGATTCTACTTATTAGGGAAAAATGTTAGAAAAAATGTATTATCTTTCTAATTAAATATCTCTTTTAGAAGTTTAAAACCTTGTCTTAGAAACTGAGTACCAATAACATTACTGACATAATTTCTAAGAGAATATTAAACTCAATTATTCACAACACTGAAAAGGAACCATAAGGCAAATTATTTAATTATTCTATATTCCTGATAAAACATGTCAAAAGTGTAATCAGACTAGTTTGTAGTATATAAATGGTAAACAGGTATATTCATAGTATCTTGGAACTCAAGGGTCTGTGATTCATATCACCAAATTCTAAAACTATACTCATAATTCAAAAAAATGTAGACTGTGTACAGTACAAAGGATAGATGTAGAAAAGAATAAAGGAATTTACTGCTGTATATTTTAATATGATAAGAAAAGGAGGCTTTTTTCTCCAATATGCAAAGAGATTTTTCACCAGGAGCATTAGGAAAACTGTATCTTAAAAATAACAAATTTCAAATATAAAAAGCCCTACAGGGCCGGGGATTTAGCTCAGTGGTTTCACCGCCTGCTGCGCAAGCGCAAAGACCCGAGTTTGATCCCTGGTACCAAAAAAAAAAAAAAGCCCTACAAAATTTAATAAATCAACTTTTCTTTTGGAACTTACATTTTGATTAAAATATAATTTTGCAACATTCAAGTAATCTTTGAAACACAGTTTTATTACACTGATAATCTGTTAAGGTTTTAGGAAATAATCCCAACAATAAAGAACTACAAGTTTTGAACTGGGATCCTTTTGATGGTTGAAAAAAAAATTAAGAGCTTCTTTTCTTCATAAGATGGAATAAATCTGAAGGACTGAATTACTCTACTTGAACAGCCATTATGTGTCTGTTGAGTGGTGGTCAATAACCTAGTAAGCTGTAATCTAAAGAGTACAATGGTATTTCTGAGCAAATGGGGGAAAGCATATTCTCTAGTTCTAATAAGTAAATCATATAGTGTGTATATGATAACTAGGTTACCAAGAAAAAAAAAATACAACTATCTCTGAACCACCCAAAATTATCAGGGAAGCTAAAGAAAGACATGTTCTTGAGACAGGCGGGATAACTGGTTCCCACTTGACATAGGCATTTTTCACTGAATGATCCTAGGCATGGTGCACAGAAAAAAAATAGTATAATTGGCAAGAGAAGAGGTTTCCCCCCCCTGCAATCACTTAGCATCTTGGAACCCAGAGGTGGCCCTAATCTAGATTCAACTTCTAGTTATTAAAAAAATAGCCCTTTAAACAGGCTTTTTTTTTTCCCTTTCAATAAAAGGTACTAAAGTAGACTCTTCTTCCAACTATGAGAGGTCTATGTTTCAATTTATAAAAATATCAATGAATGGGTACTTTTCCCCCAAACCATTCAATATCTACCAAAATTAAGTAAGTAGAATTATAACAGTAAAAGTTGTGAGTTTTCAGCTGCACATATATATTTCAGCTGCAGATTCCATATATTCCCCCTTCTTAAAAAAATTCAGAATTTCTGTGAATCTTGCTGGAAACGATTTAGCTTCTCTGGATTATTGGATGCCATTTGTGAAAAATCACGGAAAATATCCTGGTAAGTTTCATCACCTGCATGAAAGTAAAATAAGGACACTTTTAAAATGTATACATGTAAAGCATTAATAAAACAACATTCAGGGCCAGGGATTTAGCTCAGTGGTTTTGCCACCTGCTGCGCAAGCGCAAGGACCCAAGTTCGATCCCCGGTACCAAAAGAAAAACAACATTCATTTTTATTGGTAGTAACTATTTTCTATATCATTACATTATTTTGTTCAGATGATCATTTTTGGAGGAAAACAGGGCCAACTAAATATAAATGCAAGGAAAGTATATAATGAAAGAAAAAAACTATACCTGAAAAAAGCACCTCAGAGGCAGCCACAGGAAAGTTCAAAGTTAGAAAAGAGCAAGGATGCAGGTGTTTTTAAGCAAGATAAAGAAATACATTTATTAACACATGAGAAATTAAAGTCATTCTAAGTGAGGCATAGTAAACGAGACATTGTTTAACTAAAAATTTCCTTTGTTAAAGGCCAAAAGAAATTACCAAAACCAAATACTAGTGGTTCTTGATGGATGCAAGTTATTCTCAAGACAAAGTGATAATCAGAAGGAAAAACAGCATTCTTTTATGGATTATCTTTTAATTAGACGAAATTTAAATTAAAATAGCATACTCAAACTTTAATGCTTAAAACTAATGCATCTAATTCACTGCTTACTACACTTAGGAATTTTAAAAGCCTAGAAAGTGACTATAAAACCATAGTCATACATTGTCAGAAGTTGTTTTGTTTACTGTAGGTTGTATGAGCAAAAATTCTACAAGCCAGGTATTTAGCTCAGTGATGCCATGCCTGCCTCACAAGTGCAAGGTCCTGAGTTCGATTCCCCAGTACCAGAAAAAAAAATGCTATAACAAAATGGGAGTTAATACCAAAGCCACTTGTTGAGAAATAAATATGTATACATATAATATTCTTGAAGAGATGTACATTAATAGATATTAACATTATAGCAGATTAAATACTATTTTTCTTGCCATGGGAAATTATATACACACATATAAATTAATGCATCAGACAAAAGAATCTTATTTTCAAAATGAATAATTCATCGTGTTTGCTTCCTGCTAAACATTCACTTTACAGATTTTAAGAAATCAACCCAACAATGAAGGATTTACAGAGACACTTGGAATATTCTGCGCTCAAGATTTTGAGCATAAAATACTGTTTTAGATGATTACTGTTACAACCTGGTTTTTTAATTTCTCATAAGATACCTTGCATCCATCTTATAACAAACTCGTTGCTACAGGTGTTAATAGTGCAGTAAGTTTTGTCACTTTTAAAGAGCAAGATTTTTGAGGCAATAGATGTCATATCAAAGCTAGAGAATTAGAAAAATGTAGGGGAAGAGCAATAAAGATCTAGTAAAAAGGCCTAACACCATAACCCAAGATTTTTTAATAAAGATTTTAATACTTTTAATATTTAGTTCCCGTTAATATTTAGTCTATATAAAAAGCAATTTATTAAAATCATATATAGTTTTCTTTTAGCCCTAGAAATTTACTTATGGCCTGAAAAAAAATCAGTTAAGCCTAATCAATCTACTTTAAAAAGAAAAAAGTAAGATTTACTAAAACCAAAAAGTTGATATATTGGAACAAGTGGTTAGACAATCCAAATATACTCATGATTTTTTAAAGTTCATTTCCACATTAAAAGACAAACTATGATCTATTCCCATTTTATCCATTCTAAAAGATATAAAATAAGAGCAATAAATAGCAATTAACAAACCATACAAAATATTTAAATTTTTTTCTTATTTTTAGATGTTGAATTAAAATATGTAAAATATTTATTGTAAACATTATAAACATTTTTAAAATACTATTTAAACTAGATAGTCTAGAATTTTACTCCCAAGAAAGTGTAAAGTGCAGATTATAATACAAAAATACCACACTGATTTTACCATTCAACACCAGAAGTAACTTAAAAGGCACACATTATACATTCAAGAAGAAATAGGAAGAAGGATCTAGCAGATGCTAATGCCAAACAGTTTACAGATAGCACCAGATGGGCATTCTTAAGTATCACAACAGTACAATGGCAATATATGGCTTCTACAATTAGCAATGCATATTTGTATAACAAGCTGTATTTTTTCTAGCTTTTGTTTTTAAATGATCTAGTACCTATTACACAAGTATGTTTGAATCAGACCATTGTACCATGCAAAGCAAATTAGAAGACCTTTCATTCACTGAATTAAATGCTTCCTTGAAGGAAAGGTGTTGGTGCTATAATAATCATTGGTTTCACTGACTGAATACATTTAAAGAGTCAACACAAGAGAGGTTTCCATCTTCAAACACACAAAAAACTTTCTAACATTCAGTTTCTAACAAAACATTAATCAATCCACTGTTAACATACTACCTTTCTTAGACTTCAAAATGTGCTGTCAAAAAGCAAATGTTACAAGAATAATTGTGACTAAAATATTTAGCATAGCTACCACAAATTGAATTTCAATGTGATTATTCATTTGGAATTTTTCCCAAGGCAAATATAATTTGTCTACACTAGAACACATAAACAAAACCCAGACTATGCTGTCCTAGAATGTTCCCAGAAGTACATTTTATGGTTTATTACAAATGATAAAAAAAACTGATTCCCTGATGTCTGTAATGCTAAGCTAAGCATATTCTTTAAATTACTTAACCACATTCCTTTTTCATTTCAGAAAGTAAGCTTTTCTATGTGCCTGGACAGTTCTGAGGTTTTAAAACATAGATTGCTTTGTTTCCATTGATAATTTAAATTCATTTTCAAGTTTTGGGATTCAGAATATCCATTATAACAGCAGTTATGATGATTCAATAGTTTACTGACTTTGCTCTTAAAAAGAACTCTCTCAAACTGACGACAGCATTAGAGCCCTACCCCAAAGTAATCATATGCATGATCCTGACCCACTAGGTTGGTAACAGTTTCTCTCCACAACTGATGAGGTCAGTGATCTCCAATCTTTGCCTGCTACCCTACTCATATAACCAGTACTAGTGCCCAGGCCAGTGATCCTCATTTGGCTAAGAACTTGCCAGCCATCAAGATGAGTCACAGAGCCCAAAACAGGGAACCACCAACTGATTTCCAATACCTGAGAGCAGGGTGTGCTATTTCCCTCACCCACTCAGGCCTCCTAAGAGTTCTGGGGGCTACCAAGGAGAGACACATCCTCCCTTCAGAAACTGAGTTCTTAACGTTGCCTTCCAAAAATTGGAAGTCTCAGATTTTTGGGGTTGTAGACAGAAGGTTCAGAAATGGGGTTGACTAGAAATAGGTTTATGATTGCCAAACATTTTATCTCAATCTTTTAAATGGCAGACCTCATTACCAAAAGACTTAAAATTCCTGTACCTATAAACTACCCAGAGTTCTGAGATTTTCTATTAGTAGGACACTTTAGAAGGGGGAAGGGAGGTTGCTAATAAAACAATCAAACAGTCTCTGAAAGAAAAGTTTATACTGATACAGTAAGCAGATGAAAAACAAAGAGCTACTGCCAAACACATCTGCTCTCCAAAGACTCAGGAAGGAAAAGTAGAGAGCAATTGCTGTGTCATTTCACCACATCACCTGTATAAGCGTAAAATTATTGTTTCAAATATTAGGACCTATAAATGACTTAAATATAATTATTTTCAAGATGATCTGAAAATAGATTTTTTTTAAAATCTCATTTTATTCTGATACACTCTTTCCAGAATCCTATCTATTTTTTAACCTCTAAACTAAAATTTGAGAATGGTAGAAAAGTTTGTTTCAAAATGAGGCTTTTTCAAATTTTCATTAAAATAAATTGGAAAAACTGATGTTTCTGTTGATTAACAGAAGTCCATATACTTATATATAAACCTGCACATACGTAACAGTGAAAGAGACATCTGAGGGCTCTAAACAATGGCAGAAGAAAACCAAGCAATTCGGGTGGAACTAGAAGTAGCAAGAACATCGAGGTTCTCTCCTTTCAAGCTTCAAACTCCAGAGAAGAGTCGTCCACTGACCTTCTGACTAATCAGGTGGTTGAACTTCATCAGCAAACACCTTAAGGAAAGAGCAGCTGACCAAACATTTAAGTTTAAAATTTCAGGAAAAAAACTGTTTAACTTAAACTCCTGAAGTCCACTGTTCTCACAAATGTCAGGTCACATCCTTGATCAATTTTTATTTTTAAAGTGCTTAAACATAAAGGCCTCAAAACTGGCCTAGTAATACTATCACTTAAGTGTATCTCTTACAAAATTATAATGTTTAAAATCTAACACTCAAGTTTAAAACAAATGGGTGAAATCCAGAGTTAACACTACAGCTTCACCCGTCATCAGCATTTTGACATCTTAGAATATCATGAGTCAGTGGTACATATGATCCATAGGATTAAAGTGGGACACCCTACATTAGAAGCATGTAGCTCCAGTGCCTCTATTCTCAAAGTCCTTACTTGCTCCCTGTTAAATTAGGGCAAAAATAAGTAGTAAATACAGTCCTTTGAGAAAAAATGCCCCCATATTGGTATTAAATATTGAGTTAAAGTAGATGGTTGAAGCTATCAGAAAGTATAGAAATTTTACAACATATTTAAACAAAGAAGAGATGATATTACCAGGCCACCTTAAAAATAATATTTTCAATATTCATTTTTAAACAATCAAATATACTCATTGAAAACTTAACATTTTAAAGTATTTTTATGAATATCTGAAATTTTTACTAATATGTATATGAATTTAAAGATAGATTAGTAATTCATATACTCAAAATCATGAAACTAGAGACCCCATAGTTACTCTCTTCTCTGTGAAGAATGTCTAATCAGCATGTGTTCATCAAAGAGGAAACCGAACCGCAACACTTCTTTTCTTGACAACTTGACTCACAGGTAAAAATGAGTCAAAATGAAACTTGAGGTGATCATGAGTTGAGATTCTCTAATAAAAGTAAGTGTACTCTGCTATCACGTTCACAAAATTCTGTTCTAAATACTGCCACTCATCAAAACAACAGATATATACAAATGCTTGGGGCTAAGATAAAGATAAAACGGGACCTTTTTCCTTCAACCTTTTAAATTAACTCCACTTCCATTATGAACTTCTAAGCCTACTAGTAAATTTATATTTTACTTCTTCAAATCATTTTTAGTTTAGAATACAAAACTCATCAATAAGCTTTTTCTTAATATTTTTCATACTGACTTTTTTATATGCCAAACATATAGTGGTTATTTTTGTTTAGAGTTTTTTTTTTTCCCTGAACACATTTATAGAAATTCCCTGAATAACAAAAAGAAAATAATTTTGTTATATTCATTTAATAACTAAAAAGAATTCCAAAGAGTAAACAACTATTTTGCTGCTGTAAGTATATAAGGAATATTTTATCATTCCACTCACTTCACTGGAATGTATATGGAAGACATCTGTACAAGAGATAAGGAAGTCAGCAGCCAGAGTTAAATATAGCAAGTAAATGTGTGCTGGAATAGGAACAGTTATGGATTTTTAAAGGCCCAGGATTAGTCACCCAAGAATTCTGGAAGTACAGTACATAGCTAACAATTCACAATTTACAAGTAGGTTATTAAAACTCATAGAATCGTGTTAGGTGGCTAAAGAACTATGAATCTTCCAATTGTAAACTGATAAATTCCTGAATACATTTCTTATACTGCATTTCAGTATGGTTATTAGTGGAATATTGACCTGGCTGTCCATAAAGTCCTTCTGATTCCCGCATTTCTTCATTCATTCTTGCTAAACGTAACCTGAAATTAAATAAAAGGACTTTCTGATGAAGTTATATAACATAAATATTCATAAATAATTATATAAGCAGGTAATACATGTACTAATGCAATTTTTTCCCTTTACCAGTATTTGTCACTAAAACAAGCTGGGTTTTAGTTTATCAGACCTGGAAATCTAAAATATGAAAATAAGTATATCTTATCTTCATACAATTCTCATGAGAGAAAGCAGTAAGTGTATTTCAGCTCTATTTGGGCAGGATCCCTGCAATACCTCCAGCAGACTGCTTCCTTCACACTGCAAAGAATTCCTGGCTCCCACAGAAACCTGTCAAATTTTAACTGCCATATACTGAAATTATTGCTCCCACAGAATACAGCTATACCCTGTCCTTAGTTCACTCTGGCTCATTTTGAGTGAGAGAATTCCCCACATATAAATAGTTTACATTGCCTCTAAATACTGTAAATACATTTTGATATACAAGCATTACACAAACATTATAATAATATAATTATATATACATACATACATACATACATATTGGTTATCAAGACGTTCCTAAGGTTACTACCTTTGTTATAATTCTTTTTATGGGTTTATTCTGGCAGCAGAAGACAAATATTTCTTTTCTTTTTCTCCTTACTAATTTTAAGCGCATTTTGAAATAGGCAAATACTCCCTTTGGTACCGCTCTCCTACTCGGTACTGCTCCCAGTCCTTCTGACCACCAAAAACCCGCTGCCTTCCCAGCCTCTGTGACACTTTTCTGCTGTCCTCTCTGGCAACTGCCACACCTGCATGGACTTTTCCTGTCTTCAAACTTCCATGACTCCCTTCATCTCCTCTCAACCACTGTGAGAATTAACAATAGCTCCTTAAGTATTCTCTGTGTGTAGATTTTTAGAGAGGACACATAGTTACAAAAATTCTTAAATGAAACTAATGAACTCAAGTAAAATAAAATGAGAACATTTAGACAGTCTGGGAACAGACACAAGGTGTTTTGCTATATACAAACTGCCTGGTAAGCTGAATGCAGAGTTAGTTCCTCTACCCTAGTCTAATTTTTTTTAAATCAGTTTTCCTCCTTTTGTAAATCTATAATGCTTTAGTAGTTCTAGATTTTCCTACAATAGCTTCCACAATGACAATAATCCTTCCAGTGAGGAAAGTGTGCTTGGCTGTGTTTAATCTGGCAGAGCTCAGCGGGGCAGTACATAGCATGTCATGAATCCTCAGTGAGAGCTCAGGATTTCAAGGTGGTCATGGGAATTTCTCCTTGTGACTGAGAAGGAATGTAAATGAGGCTGCTTCTCCACTAAAATGGGAGGTAAGTCACTAATTCTGGGCTTCACATAACCCAGACTAGAATGAGGAAGTGACTATAAAATACTCTTCTGCTGTCTATGAAATACAGGTGACCGTCACATTTTAGAATCCAAGGGAAACAAACTACTTTGTTCAAGTTGGCAAATTGACAGTCTTCTTCTTCCCAGCTATTGTTGTGGCTGAGGAAAGTTGTTGCAGATTTGAGGCCAGACTAACAACTTAGCAAGACCCTGTCTCAAAATGAAAAAGAGGGTTAGGGTTGTAGCTCAGTGGTAGAGTGCTTGCCGAACATGTGTACAGCTCTGAGTTCAATCACCAGTACCATCACTGAAAATAAATCTCTCTTTAAGACCTCAAATTAGCTTTTGTTCAAACATTCAAAACTAAGAACTTCAATATTAATCAAGGGCCGAGCCTGTCTGGCAAGCGTAAGGTCCTGAGTTCAATTCCCAGTACCAAAAAACAACAAAAACATTAATCATGTGAAAATTCTTTTTTTGAAAAGGCAGATGCCTATCACTATTGAAAGGCAATGCAACTTCACAAAAGTTACTAACATCAATGCACCTGTCCTCCCTACTCATAAACCTCCAATTCTTGAGGCAATAGATTAACTTACTCTACCAATCCTCAACCCCAACCCTACCACTCTACTAAGAGTTAACTGTTTTAGAGAAGTCAGGAAATACAGAAGAAATGGCTAGGGCCAAATTCTTGATTTTAAGTCCCAGCTCCACCACTTAACTAATTTCTCAAACTGTCTGTAGTCTGACCTCCTTAGCTATAAAATAAGAATAGTAAGAAGTAATATCTTCCTCACAGGGTTGTTTTAAGAACCAAATCAGATCAGGCACTTAAAGTGCTTACCACATTTAACGTACTTAGGGAAGTACAAAGTTCACAGTAAATACCAACCAACTTGGGCCAGGGATTTAGCTCAGTGGTTCCGCTGCTTGCCTCGCAAGCACAAGGACCCAAGTTCGATCCCCGGTACCCAAAAAAAAAATACCAACCAACTTTAGAGTTCACACCGGAGCAAGAAGTCCAGTTAACACACTGCACAAGTAAAATCTTGCATAGTGAAGTAGAAAGGAAATACGTACAAGGTTACTATATCAGCATTGGCTGCTTCCACAGCTATGCTCAAGGGATCCTTCCCTTCTTCATCAGTGGCATGTTGATTGGCACCTCGCTTTAGGAATAAACATACCTGCCTGTTTAAGGAAACAACATTTTTGAGATATTGCCAACAAGAAGAAAAATTAATATTTGCCCTAAAAAATAAAAGCCATACCTAATTTAAGTAATGTTTTTGTTAGAAAATTCTTAATTCATTCTAAAATATAATGAACAGTGATTCAAGTAATAAACGTTTACAAAGATCAATATTTTATAAGACTCAAAGTATTTTCACTTACACTATTTTACATAATCTGGGGCTGTATAGCATAGTGAGATACATAAATTATGGTCTCTACCTTCAAAGAATATCATAAAAAGATATACCCAGCTATCAGAGCACTTAAAAGAAAGGTCACTCAAGGCCATGAAATAAAATAGGAAGGATTATGATTGTTTAAGAAGAAAATACAAAGAGTAAGTTAAATCCTTACCATTTTTAAGTATAGAAAAGTTTTGATGAGGTTTTTGAAATGAATCTCTTTGTTGATAAAGAGAGAAAACAAGTTATAATTTAAAAAGAGAAAGTGATGTTATTTAAGACAGGCATGGTGGTACACCTGTAATCCCAGCACTCTGGGAAGCTGAAGTAGGAGGATCACAAATTCAACCCCAGCCTGGGCAACTTTGTAACTTAGAGAGACCCTGTCTCAAAATAAAAAAATAAAAAGGGCGGAGGGGGCTGGGGATTTAGCTCAGTGGTTCTGGCGCCTGCCTTGCAAGCGCAAGTTCCTGAGTTCGATCCCCAGTACCAAAAAAAAAAGATACAAAAAAAGGGCGGAGGATGAATCACAATGCGAAGACCCTGGGTTCAATCCCCAGTAAATTCCACAAAAAAAGACGGAAATGCTATTTAGAAGAAAATTTTTAAAAGAATACCTTCTCACTTATCCAGGAAATAATAATTGAAAACCTTGAAATGTTTTAATTAAAAAACAATTACTGTACTATCAGGCATAGTTGCGCACACCTACAGTCCCAGCACTGTGGGAGGCTGAGGCAGAAGGATCTCAAGTTCAAGCCCATCCTGAACAACCTAGTAACTTAGCAGGACTCTGTCTCACAATAAAAAATTTTAAAAGGACTGGGGATGTCGCTCAGTCATAGGCGCTGAAGCAGTCTTCTTGCTATACTGTACAAATATTCATAATCTGAAGAAATTGACCAAAAACATTTTAATATGAAAGAATGGGTTGAGCGTATACAGGAAGAATTATAATAGTTCAATGCCTAGTATTATAAATAGGTCAATAATTAATTTTAAAAGTAAAAAGATAATAATCACCTATGATAATTTTTTAAAACGCCAATATTTCTACATCATTCATACTTTCCAGCAGAAAGTCCATTTTCATACCTTTACTGTTCTGAGTCTTAATATTGCTGTAGGTATCACAATGTCAACTGCCTAAATTAAGCGTTTAGTTTGTAATTTGACCAGCTACACTAAAAATTTAAGTTATAAATACACTTAGTTGTCTGATGAAATCACCACAATTTCAGTAAAAGAGAAGGTAGTAAAACTGAGCTATTTAATAAGTTAGGGTAGAAGTAAGCTCTGCAATTTTCATATCTAAAAAGCCATACAGTTTTTCTAAATCAGTTTTTAATTTCCAAATTCCATTATGATCATATAAGTCATAGGGACACATCTCTTTATACACTATCTCATGACCTCAATCTGAAAAGGCAAAACATTGTTTCAAAATGATTTTTCAAGGGGCTGAGGATTTAGCTCAGCGGTGCCTGTTTCGCAAGCACAAGGTCCTAAGTTTGATCCCCGTACCAAAAAAAAAAACAAACAATGATTTTTCAAATAAAATCTACCTAAATATTTAAACACTAGAATTACCCTGTGTGTCCTAAGACGGTGGCATGGTGCAGTGGTCCCCGCCCTTGGACATCTCTTTGGTTCACATTAGCACCATTCTGTAGGAGGAACTCACATGTCACCAAAGAGCCCTTAAAGGGAAAAAGAGAGTAACAATTTATAAATGCAAGCAACAAGAAGCAGCAGTATATTTCTACTTAAAAGCAGTATTTTTATTTACTCAGATAGCATTTCCGTTTCATTTTCCTTCTAAAAATATCCCCCAGAAAAGCAGAAAAATATTATATTAGTTTCTTCCCAAGAACCCCTTCTAATAGGAATTCATTTGCAGTTTATGATATAGTAAATCACACTATAAGTATAACTTTTATTATCAGAATTTTCTTCCATTACCAAAAGAAAAGAAAATGCTGAAACAAAGTGATGCTCAGCAATCACTACTAGGTACACAGAGGCATTGTTATTTTTCAGCCTATCTTTTAAAGCAAAAAACCAGTATTAATATCAAAGCCATGTTCAGAGTTTATTATGATAACTTATATTTTACTACCAGTGAAAACCTCAATGTATGAATTCATACCCCTAATACAGCCTGAATAAGTGGTGTTGCTTTGTTTTCCTCTGAATTAGCCCAGTTTACATCTGCACCACGAGCCAAAGCCTCAGCCATTTTCGGAAGATTTTTTTCATATGAAGCTCTATAAAGCTGAAGTCCTGGATTAAGATGTTTAGAGTCGAGAAACACCGAAGAATCTTGTCTTTCTCCTTCTGAACAGCAAACACAAATGCATTAATAAAAATGAGCTCTTAGCAAAAAAAGGATGAATTGTTTAATAGGTAGAGTTTCAATTTTGCAAGATGAGAAGAATTCTGTGGATGAATAGTGGTAATGGTGGCATAACAAAATGAATATATACTTAGTGCCATTGAAGTGTACACCTAAAAATGATTATAATGGTAAATTTTGTGTTATATATTTTATCACAACTTTTAAAAAATGAACTCTTAAACTTATTACAATGTGAAAGTTGTGACATAAGAGAAACCATTAATCTACCATAATAAGCTTATGGGAGATTTTCACATAGATATCTTATTTCCTATAATCATTCCCCAAACATTCAACCTGCACTTACAAAGACATCAACCAGTATGCTACATCTTTTGTGGTCGTGCTTACTGACGTTCAAGGGCGAGGACAATTACTCTACTGAAACTGGCTGCATTCCCACACGCCTAGACTGAACTGGAAGAATTTTACTACTAGATCAAACTTCTCTTCATTCTAAGCACAATCCACTACCATTACATTTTGGCCTATAACTAGTTCAAATAATGTGAAGAATGTTTACTCCCCTGAGAATTCTGAAAGACTGAAATCACAGAAGAGAGAATATAGGACTAAAGCACCGAGAAGAAAAACTTAATAGAAAGGGAGATGCTGACCTCTCACCTGGTAAGGTAGCCCCAAGGAAAGACACAGAATGAAGACATAAAGTGCATGCAGATTAAAAATTATCCTTCGCTATGGGAATACACTTAGAACACATCAAGAAGCTTGGAAGAATGTGCAACTAGGGAAGAATGTCCAAATTTGAAAATAAATAGCTGCTTTTTCACTGAACAGTATTACTCCTTCCTTAGTACCTTCTAACGTTTCCTTTAGAAGTTTCCTAAAGTTTCCTTTAGAAATGATTTAATCAAGACCAGGTATTTACACATGGATTTTTCAGCATACTGTACCAATTAACAGTGGATTTCATCAACTCACCAGGTTCATATAAACTACTGGCTGACACTGTGGACGGTAAAGATTCTCTTCCATCATCGCAGCTTTGCTGGATCCCACTGTCATTACTTTTGACTATTTAAAAGAAAAATTAGCTAGTGATTAAAGTTCATACCATTTGGAATACAATCTTGAACAACCAACAAGGTCTTAAAATGAGCTCTTACATGTCAACATGAACTCAGCCACCACCAGTGGACTATATTTAATACAATTTTAATTCTTCTAAACACTTAGCTTATTGTGATATCAATCAATCACAAGCCTGAAAATAAACTTATTTTCAGAGTTGTAACACATCTCATTACTCCATAAAATGTCAGGGGTAGTAAAAGCTTAATTTATCGTATGACTGTAAATAATGCATAATTCTGAGACAATGGGTAACATCTAGAGAAATGGCCACACCGCACAATGACCACTGGCACAGACTTGGAATGCTCCACAAGAGTAGTACTTACTACTACGCAGTTTTGAAGAAGTATCAAAGTAGGAGAAGAGTGAATCTAGCTCATCAGGACAGAACAGAGACTCCCGCCTGGCCTCGTCGCTATTTACAGCAACCACTGGGGTCATGCAAGTTAGCAAAGCACAAAGCAGGCCATTAGAAAGGAAAAGGGCAGGAAAAAACGTTTCTGGGAAAAATTTAGGAGGAAAAAATAGGAGGGAAATCAGGTAGTTAATCAGATACTTGGGGCTTTTGGCATGATAGATTAATAATCCCCACCTTCCTTGTATTTTAAGCACTTTTATGTGAATTACCATAGTACTATTTAGATGCAACTGTTTTAAAGACAAAGCAATCTAGTTTCTCCTTAAAACATGTTGAAGGAATCAGGTTTGTAGCATTTAAAAAGTCTACAATGGCTATTAATTCAGAGATTAGGGAAATGACTTCAGCTCAAGAAAATATTTATATTCAAAACAAGAAAGCTGTAATACCTGAACTCTGGACAGACGATCTGATTGGGTCACCCGGCCCAAGTTTAGAAATGCTTAGCCTCTTTTCTTCGCAGCCTCTGGAGACAGTCTTTTTTCCCTGCTCAGGAGGTGATGATGATATAGAATATTTATCCACAAATTTTCTCTCCACATATTTTGCTTTGATATATGCCTCTTTCTCCTGTCTGGTATACATAAAAATGTCATGATGTTCTGCTTAATCCTTGGCATGGTTAATGCTCAAAAGATGCCATTATACATTGAATATTTTCAAGCAAAGTTACTGGATGTAACACACTTAGAACAGAATTTGTGACATTATACAATATTTTTCTTCCAAATATTTAATGAACTAATTTCACAGTCAAATGAAATACAAATAATAACCTAACTAAAAAATAACATGTATTAAAAAATAAGAACCAGGATAGATTATGTAAAGGTACAAATTTCCAATGATGAATGTCATTATACTGTATACCTAAAATGTACCAATAAAATTAATTTTTAAAAAAACATGTATTAACATGGCACTTTGATTCTCTTAGTTTCTGTGTTTATTCATTTCTATATATGTTCCCTCAAGCTTTTTACAGGATGAAAAATATTACCAGGAAAACAATAAAAATATATGTGACTTTTAATTTCATTTATACTCAAAGAGATCATGTCACACAATAGTGACAAGCATAATTTTTCATAAAATAATTACCTTAAAACAATAGAGCATTCCTAATTCATAGGGGAGAAAAAGATGTCACATTTTAAACTTTTAATTTATGACACAATCATCTAATACCATGTCTGCTCTATAGTTTTTCTTACTTATAGCCTTTTAAAGTCCTTAGGTCTTCAGCTAAAATAGAAGGATTATTGCCAGGTCTTAAATATCTCAGTCATTCTTTTACAAATACAAGATTCTGATTTAAATGATATTGGCTTAGAGAGAAAAAAATTTCAACAAAGGATTATGGCAAATGAAATCTGAATGCTAAAAATAAAAAATCATGATTAAAAATAGCACTGAGTACAAAAAATATGTGTCTCCCAGGCTGACTCCTGGCCACTTCGTAAATAAGCCTCTGTACATATAACTGGAAATATAATTTCAGACACAGCAATTAAGCTCTCTATTCTACTATAGCAACCTTTCATCTTTAATTCCTCAGTATCATAATGCATACATAAAGTATGTGATCAGCAAATATTTGCTGAACTAAGTCAAACAATGTAAAATTATTTCATTATAAGCAGTAGAAACTCGATCCTTAAAACCTTTTAGGGACAGACTGTGTCTTTTGAATGCCTGCCACCAACAGAACTTTATAATCTATCTACTTTAACAGCTAGGAGTATTCATATTTCTAGGTAGAGATTTAATTTTAAGATTCTTTCTCATCTGAAAACTATCATATGCTTAAAATATAATTATCTAATTAATATACACAAGACAGAGATAGCCACATGTGAACAGAAGCAGACATGATTACTTCTAAACACTGTCTCAATGCTATATGTAGTTATAGTGAAATAAAAGCACTGCTATATTCCTGATTAGAAAAAAAAAAAGATAGTACATCAAGACAACTGAAATAGTACCTTTGTCCTGGTTGTGGTTTCTTTATTCCCATTTTTTCCACTTTAGCTTCATAAACACGATTTATAACATCATTCCCCAACTCACACATAAGCTGTTTGGCAAGAAAATAGAAAAGTGAGCTAGAAATTAGAAGTCCTTGAGATAAGCTAAAATATGGAAGTTCTTAAATCAACCTCTCATTCTACAAGGAAATTTAAAGTTCAAATGAGACAAGGAGTGAGAGTAATACTATCATTTGGCCATTCTTATCAGAACATTACCACTACTATACCAGATTCTATGTACATATATAAGATACATGAAATCGCATCTCTCTATCCACAATTACTGTATGTACATGCTCATGTTAGAACAAGATGTATGACAATAAAGCATAACCTATATACTTGAGTATAGTTACTACTGGCCAGTCTTAGGAAAATAAGTTAAAATTAAATGTCTATTCTTTTCAGTTTTCTCCTCACTTCAACCTCCTAGAAATATTCAAATCTGTCAAATGTACGACTTTATGGAAATTATTTTTGGGCTTTTCCCTCTCCTTTAAAGGATTTCTTCCTTCCAATGACAATCAATTCCTTGTTGTATGTCCTAAAACCTTTTAGGTTTTCTTCTCTGTCTGTTCATGGCTTTAATTTGGTTTGCACTTTCCTTGCCTCTTTAACACATTACATAACCTCATGATGACCCATACTGGTTCCAGTTGTGGCCCGTTCCAGGCCTGACCCTACACCAAACATGCTGCCTATGCCAACATTCAGATTACCCAAACCATTTCCCTGAACATTTTATCTGGGTAAAAAGGACACTGGGTGTATATTGAGATGACACAACCAGCAGGTGCAGAGAATACAGTTAAGACATTGTGGGGTGTAAGCTGGTGGGAAAGGTAAAAGGCCTGCAGTATGATGGCAAGAAGATAAAAACATAGCAAGAAGATAAAAACGGGGGTTTAGCTCAGTGGTTCTGCCGCCTGCCTCGCAAGTGCAAGGTCCAGAGTTCGATCCCTGGTACCAAAAAAAAAAAACATAATCAAAACAGGAGCAGAGTCTGAGAAGGGCAGTCTAAGAAAGGGTACATTAGGAAGGCATGAGAAAAAGGTTTCCCTTTCTCTCCTCCTTAGTCTGCACCCTTTCAGAATCTCTTGACTTCTGAGACATCCTCCTCCTATCAGGGTATCCTTGCTTCTACTGTCTGTCTGTCTCCCCCCCCCTCCAGTGCACAAACACTTCTTACACTACTTGCAGTTTTTCGGGGTTTTGTTTTTATTACTGTGTTTAGGGGTGGGGGTTGTTTTGGTTTTCTTTGGGTTTTGCTTTTGCCAGTGCTGGGGACTGAACCCAGAGCTTTGCACATGTGAGGCAAGTGCTCTGTCAGGGAGCTACATCCCTCCTCTGCCCTACTTCCACTTTTACATATCACATTTTTTTCATTTTTACTTTATTTTATTTTATATCATTTTTGTGGTGCTAGGCATTACACACAGGGCTTCGCACATGCTAGGAAAGTATTATACCACTGAGTTACATTCACAACCCACATTTTTCATTTTTAAAATAAAGACACCAATTATATACAGATTAGCCTTAAAAACAAAATCTCACTGTCCTGTAAGAAAGATAACAGATACATCATAAAATGAGAATTTGTAGCACAGAAACCAACCCCATTTACAAAAATTTAATGTAGAACAAAGGATAAATAGCAAGATGAGAGAAGAAAGGATTGCTTTACAACTGACACTAGGAAAACTGGTTAAGAATTTAGATCCAGGAATAGCAAGAGTGTACCTACAGTCCTCAACTACTCAGGAGGCTGAGGCAGGAAGAGCACTTGAGCCCACAAGCTCAGGAACAACCTGGGCAATGTAATGAGACTCCATTTCAAAGAAAAAAGTTAAAAAAAGAAAAAAGAATTCAGAAAAAATATCAACACTTAGGGATATATTTTATGTGATCCAACAAATAAATTCACACATCCTAATTAAAATTTATAAAATACTGTTATAAAAATGAGGTAATTTCAAAACTTACCAAAAAACCAAAATTCTATTATGAAAAATAAATTAGGGGAATCACTACTTATTTTCCAAAATGTTACATTTGCATACTATATTCAATCATCTTTAAACACTTCAAGATATTATAAAAAGATGAAATAAAAGTCTAACAGACTATTTGGCAAAATATTAACAAGAGTTAACTTTAAGTGAAGACGACAGTTACTGTTGGAATTTTTTTCTCTTCTTTTTGCTTGTTATTTTAAAGCTCATCTTTGATACATGTTATTTTAATTTAAAAATAATTAAGGGCTTACAAATTTTACCTTAATTGCATCTAATTAGTCCTTTTTTCTACATACACTTGCCTAAGGGAAAAGATTTCCCCATCTCCTCCCCTACAGTACTAGAATAAAGAAATATCAAAGCCAACCTAATCTCAGTATTGTGCCTCTCTCATGCCTCCAGTAACAGATAACTTCCGTTTCTTTCCAAGGAATTCTCTTAATATTCTACAGAATTCATTGTCCTATTACAGCCTTGTAATTATAAACTTTATTTACTTTGAAGCTCTCTACCTTGTCTTACCCACTTGGGGGATAATTTCGCTTTCCTCTAGAAAGGCCTGACTCAAACTACTTCCTTCTTTTTAAGTATCCTCTGCAGGTGATGAACTTATGACACCCGTATTACTGTGTTTTTCTTTTAAGACAAAAGATGTTAATGTATGAGGTATTTTTTTCTAAACTAAAACCTCAGTATTCGGGTTTAATGGCAATGTTTACACTCTGGGATAAATAAGTGGGTTTTGGGTTGCAGTTTGAGCACCTGGTCTCCAAAAAGGTTGCCACCACTGTTCTATACTAATAATTAAGTTTTGTTTAAAACTTGAACATATCAAATGCTTGTATGCATCATCTAACATCTTTATTTATATTTGCATTCTTTCCCCCAATGTAACCTTAAGCTTTTTCATACTATGAAACCCATCTCTTAGCTTTCCATCCCTCCATGATTGCTAGCACATTACTGCATAATATTCATTCTGTCTGGTGAATTAATTGAAAGAAATAGCCTATGATCAGGGATATAAAGTTTTAAACAATTCAAAATTGAAGTAAATTATTTTCTCCTTATAATTTTAAAATATGTACTTGAAAATATTTTAAGTTTCAGTAACATTTTTAATGCCAGACAGATGTTTTTTCACATAATTTCCTAAATTGAATCCACTGAATTATTAACTACACACAAAATTGATGCTCCTCATCCCCCACTTTCTTGTCCTTTGAATCCATAACAATTGGTGGAATCTATCTAAATAGGGCTCTACCTTAGAAGTCAACATATCACTTTCAATGTTCACACAATAATTCCACAAAGCAAATTTTTTTAACTTTACACAACTCAGAGATTTATCAGTTTATCTATGGATTAAAAAAATAAATACAAACACATTTAAAACACAATTTTCAGACAGAAATAAATGGAGGTTTACCCCACTTCTAAAATTAATCTATTTTCTACAATATACAATGGGAATTAAAAGAAACATTAAAACATTAACTGTTAGGAGTTTTGTAAATTTTGTCAAAAGCCTAGTAGTGGTCCAAAATTATTTATGATATTTTTATACATATGAATCTTTAGGCATGGAAAAAGGATGACAAATGTAAATAATCCATTGCAAAGTTTACAATAGCAATAAATTCATTACATTTTAATAAGAATCTAATTATAAAAGATTACAGTATAGAATCTAAAATTTTTTTGAAAAACCACAAAAATAGGGCTGGGGATTTAGCTCAATGGTTTTGCCGCCCACTGTGCAAGCACAAGGACCCAAGTTCGATCCCCAGTACCAAAAAAAAAAAAAAAAAAACCACAAAAATAGAGAAACACTGGTTTTCTTAAAAAGTGAAATGACTTAAGAGTTGAGTGCTATATAAACTTAATAACTTTAAAAATCTATCATGAAAACACCAGATTTGCCAAAACAGACTCAGATGTGCTTTCATACCCCCAAAATAAGACCTAGCTGGAAAATAATCAGGCTTGAAAACTAGAGATCAAAAATGCCAGCCCCAGGGCCGGGAATTTAGCTCAGTGGTGCCACCGCCTGCCTGGCAAGTGCAAGGTCCTGAGTTTGATCCCTGGTACCAAAAACAAAAACAAAAACAAAAAAATGCCAGCCCCAATCAGCCTATCCTTGCCTTACCTGCCATCACTGTTCTTTTGCTCAGTGGCTACTCCGTAAAGTAGGCACTTTTTCTCTTAGTTTTCAAGGTTAATTATTTTCCAGCTAGGTCTTATTTTCAGGGAAACACATAGTTCATCACTGACATGAATGTTATGGTTTAGATCTAGAATGCCCTCCAAAAGTCTCGTCTTCAGAGATGGGGCTTCTGGGAGGCGATTGGATCATGAGGGTGCTGTACTTGTCAGTGGACTGATCCACTGAAGGTGTGTTGGATGCCTTTAGAGCATATTCCTTCATCCCCAACTTTTGCCTTCTGGCTGCCATGAGTTCAGCTGCTTTCCTCTGCCAGGCCTTCCAACATGCTATTTCTGCTTGGAGCCAGCTGACTGTGGATTAAATTATGAGCCAAAATAAACCTCTTCTCTTTTAAATTGCATCTCAGCAATGAGATATCTGACTAATACAACAAGTAATTCATAAATTTGTAAACTAAGTGTCTTAGTCACTTTCTTTTGCTGAGACAAAATATCTGACACCCACAACTTCAAGAAGGAGAGGTTTATTTCGGCTCACAGTTTCAGAAGTTTCAGTCAACAGTTGCTGACAGGACCAGCCACACAGGAAAACTGCCCATGTCACAGCTGCTGCTCATGTTATAGTGCTAGGAAACAGAGTGAAGGGAGGAAGCAGCCTAGGAGGGAGATGAACCTTTCAGTCATACTTCTAGTGACTGGCTTCAGACCAGGCCTCTAACCAGGTCTAATAGCAAGTCCATGATGATGGATTAATCCACTGATGAGTATAGTGCCCCTAATGCAATCACCTTTCAAGCACATGAGACTTTGGGGGGGGGGGTTGTCTTAAATCATAACACCAATTCTAAAATCTTCACTTTTATGTGAAAATATGAAGTATATTCATATAAATATTTTACCTTTAAAAGTTCAGGCTCCCAGGTGTCTAAAGTTAAAGACCGTACTTTTGAAAAATGAACCCCAAGACTCCTATGAGAGGGGGAAAAAAAAGGACTGAATTATTAATATAAAACTATCAAGTTTCTATTCTACTTGTATATTTATGCAAATTATTTTTCTCTTTTAGAGTATAGGCTCTAATATAGCCCTCAATATAAATAAGAGCTAGATCTTCTGATTAATAATGGATGGTGAACAGAAGTCCTTGAAAGCACTTTATAAACCAGAACTTTATCCACCTTATAAAAGGTACAAAGATACAAACCGGTAGTTAAATTAGAGGAATGAAAAAGATTCTCTAACAAATGGAACATAATAATTCACAGTATGTGTTTATCTGAAGGAAGCCTCTCCCCTGGGCAGGCCTACCTACCGGTGAATCCCAGAGCACTCGATGCACAAGGTGATGCCCAAGTTGATGCTGGCCCACCGCGGATCTGCCTGCCCACAGTCACAACAGCTGGCATTGCCGGGGATACACTGGACTCGTTGCAGTGCACTTTCTCCCTTCAGTAATTTCTCTTTTGACTCACTTCCAGAATCTAGACTTCCTGTTGATGGAGATGACTTCTTATCCAGCTTCTAAAAGAATTAAGAATTATTTAATTTTACTTATAAAATAAAGAAGACTGTGATATTATGTTGCATGCTGCATGTGCCAGGCAAAAGCTTCCAATTCACAAATTAATGGTCTATGATGGATGCAAGTCAGGCACTGGAGATTAAAGAATAATAAAGAATAATAAGATACAGGATCTCCTATTAGTAGACTTTTAGTCTAGTGAGAAAAAACATACAAACATTTAAAATTTTATATATATATATATATATATATATTTAACCAATATAACAAACTTGTACAAAATAAGAAAGGCAAGGAGAAAAGAAACACTATTTTTTTTTTTTTGGTACTGAGGATCAAACTCAGGATCTTGCACTTGCAGGGCACTGAGCTAAATCCCTGGCCCGAAACACTATTTTAACATGCAAGATAAGAGGCAAACATGAGACTCTTAAGACTCAAGAATAAAATATTATTTTATACTACATTTTTCCAAGGTATGTAGTTAACTGTATGCAAGTTATTTTAATTACTACAGTGAATAAATTTTTTAAAGTATAACCTTATATAAATAGTAAAACAGATCAGCTACATCATTTTAATTACAGAGCAAAATCAATAATAAAACAGAAAATGCCTAAAATTTTAACTATTAGCTAAATGAGATTGATAAGCAAAAAGTTAATTTTTCAGTGTGCAACAAGATTTATACTACCATTAAAGTATATTTAAAAAGCATTTGTCTATACATGTCAATAATGACCAAATATAAAAAATGTGGCTCACAAAGTCAAGGCAGTTAGGATTGAGTCTATAAAGTCTCTACTTTAAAAGCATTCCAATCTTAGCAAACCAGTTTATTAGCAATGAATCATTAGAAGTACAATTTGGCTCTGTTTTGTCCTTTCTGGAAACTCAACTCCATAGCCATTAGACGGGCCCAGCAAGTTTCAGAGATAACTGAGCTGCATGAGATATGCATCTACTCAAGGGCACAACCCTGTGCAGGTTCCTGGATTCCACACTGGTTAAAGAAGTCTGCATAGGGAGGCAGTCCGGCAAGGGAAATAGGAGCCTGAATAGGGAGAGAAGGGCATGTAAGAAGGAGAACCAGGTACCTAGTGTGGGGTATCTGAGCCCAAGTGGGGTAAAATCTTAGTGCACAGCTGGGAGGACAAAGCTGGGAGCAAGTGGCAGCAGAGAAAGGATATTAGTTACATACAGAGGGGTCAATCATAAAGTAAACAAATAAATGAGAATAAAGACAAATGGAGGCTAAATTTCTTACTGCAGAGGAGTTATTTATAAGAAAGAGGAATACTAGAATAAATCCTGTTATACTGAGTCAGAACTGGAAATACCACTAGGCACACTAATGGTTTACAATATAAACAGAATAAAGCAAAACAGACATAAATGTATACATGCATATCATAAACCTTATCTTGGTTTCTAAATATCATTCTCTACTAAAAGGAACTGGGTTCTTTGGAGAAATGGCTCATTTCATGGCTAGTGAAGAGAAAGCACAAGAAGATGAACGTGAAATATCCATCATGCTAAAAAAAGTAAAGAAGTAGGGCCTAGGATTTAGCTCAGTGGTTCTCCCGCCTGCCTCACAAGTGCAAGATCCCAAGTTTGATCCCCGATACCAAAAAAAAAAAAGTAAAGAAGTATTCAAAGATCAGCAGGGCCAAATCCAAAGAGTACAGAAGATGCCACCTCCAAATACTCCCTTTGTTTTGAACACATTTATCCATTCTTCTTGCCATTTTCTGAAGCAGTTCTGAATGTCCTCTTTCATGAGTGTCTTTTTGTGACTGCCTCACTATCCTGAATCAATTCAAAACATTTATAGTAATTTCTGTCAAATAAAAACGTAACGGTGTGTTCTTATTCAATGGATTAGGCACCATGTGACTTCTGGCTCTTCCTTAAAATCAAAATGACCATGTAAAGGAAATGTTTTGAATCAATTCAGGATATCGAGACAGCCACAACACTGCAAAAAAAGACATTCAGGGAAAAGCCTTCCAGAACCACTTCAGAAAATGACAAGAACAATGGGATAAGTACATTCAAAGACGGGGAGTATTTTGAGGAAGATTCATAGTAATCTGTCTTTTACTCTAATAAAGTGTTTAAATTCAAACATTCACCATATTTTTTAAGTGCATCTTGTAATTTCCTGCCAAAGATTCATAATCTCTTAAGTAAATGGCTGATAACCCCAAACTGAGGAACATTCCACAAAATAGTATGTAATTTTCAAAACTATCAAGGTCAAGGAGGTCAGGATAACACTGAGGAACAATTCATGACTAGGGGGATTAAAGAAACATGACAACCACCTGTGCTTCTGAACTGAAGCTTTTTGCTGTAAAGAACATTACTGGGACAACTGTTAAACTTGAATGATGTGTGAGAATTAAATGGTAGTAATCTATCAGGTTCATATCTTAACTTGACAGCTATACCATGATTGTACAGGAGAATGTCCTAGGTTGCAGGAAAGGGTAATAATGGGTAATAGAATAACATGTTGGCAATTCACTCTCAAGTAAGTTAGGGAGACAGAGTGTACTGTACTTGGAACGGCCAGGTAAGTTTGAGATTATTTCAAAAAACAATTTTAAAGCAGTATTTATCAGAACATGCTTGATAATGTGAAATAACCTCATATGCAGTTGTCAAACCGGGAAAGGATGTCAGTATTATAATGCAGAAATCATGTTGGTTCATTCCCAGTTCCTCTTTATGTGCTAACATTTTTGCACCAAGTTAGAGAAGCTAAAAGCTAAGTATGCTAACACAGCATAACCTTGGAAAGCCACTCCAAGGAATATAGCACTGAAATGAAAGTTGCCTCAGAAACAGATCTCAGGGTTCCTCCTCAATGTCACACTCTTAGTGGGCTGCTCTCTATATACAAGAACATGAAAAGACTCAAAGTTTATTCTCTAAGCAATAAAACAGTCTCTAGATGGGGTTCACGTGGGTGAAGGGCAGGGGATTAGTTAACATATACATATTGAATGCTAAGATACCCAACACTTACCTTTCTACCAGCCCCTCACCCTATGTGGGAGGATCAGTGAGTTTCCCTGGGAAATCATACAGCCAGAAAGTCTCCAAAGATCCTGACTCAGGTGGCTGCACAACAAATAGTCCAGACTTGGGTGTAGCTTACAATCAACAAGGTCTTAAATATATGTTCAGAAGTTCCAAGGGGTTTGTAGTCTTAACTTGTACATTACCAGAGTGCCAAGGAAAACCTCTACCACAGTGGTTCTCAAATTTTCTTTTTTCATGGAAATCTCCTAGGAAGCTTTTAAAAATACTGATGTCTGGGTCCCAATTCCATTCAATTGTCCTGGCATAAGATCTAAGCATTGAGACTTTTTAATGCTTCGTGTATTATCATAAGACAAGGTTAAGAATAACTCTAACATTACATCCATGACAAAAGAATAAGTTTAGCTGTACAAACATTCAGTGAACAAAGAGGAACACTTGGAAACTGTGCTAACAAAATTGAAATATTCAGTAGAAAGTTTAGAAAATTAACCGGGAAGATTCCTTAGGAAGTAGCCAAAGACGCGCGCGTGCACACACACACAGAGAGAGAGAGAGAGAGAGAGAGAGGAAGAAAATAATAATACTAGTCCAGAAATGCTATAAAGAGAAAATAGATATTGGAGAGGAGAAATACAAAAGATCAGTAATAAAATCTCCAACAGCAACACTGGAAAATTAGAAGCAAAAAAGAAAGGAAAAACACCCAAACAAACAAAAATAGAGTATTATCGTTACAATTCTTAAGGTTAATTATTTCCAATCTAAAAATACACCCAGCCAAACTATTAAATAAATGTGAAGCATAATAAAGACATTCTCGGGCATGGCTCACTTTCAGGAAGATACTGGAAGAAAGACATGGGACACGGAAAGAGCAGAACTTCCAAAACTGATTATGTAAGGAAATCCCAACTATTAGCAATGGAGCAGGATTAGGGCATGACTGATCTAGACTGGAGAAATGTGACTTAAGCAACATGTTTTTAAGGGCTATCTTCACCAAGATGCCCTTTGTCAAAGTTTCCACCATTTGTATCCCTTAGCTGCTGATGAAATTCCTACTCTCCCCTTGATGCCTCACTGCTTGGATCAAGTGAGCACTCCCAGTTCCTGCTTAGGAAGAGCTCTGCTTTGAAGTACTGGGGCTACAAGTCGGCCACAATAAGTTTTGAAATACACCTCAGAGAGCATTCCATTTCCCTGACCATTTATTTCTGTTAGTCAACTATCACAAGCCTATGCCTCAGCCCCGCCAGAGGACCCAATAGTAGTGACTTTCATTTCCAAGCATTTGCTTGCAACCTTGCCTAAAAAACCAGTCTATGAAAAAGAAAAAAAAACCCAGTCTATGATGAGAAACTACATAATCTGTTTATCTTTTCCAAGGAGGCTTCAACTAAAAAACAATATTATGCTTTTTGTTTGTTTTTTTTTTCATTTTTTTTGAAGGCAAGGACTTGCTATGTAGATCAGACTGGCCTCAAACTCGAGGTGATTCTCTTGCCTCAGCCTCCTGAGTGCTGGGATTACAGGTATGTACCACCAAGCCTGGCTGTCTTTGCTTTCTACTCAATTTTAATTTTAAAAACTTTACATGGTAATTATTTTCTCTTATTATTAATTAAAATAGTAAAATATTTCAGGAAAAAACACTAACATCAGAAAACCTTACTCCAATCTGGAACATATATTTAAATATTAAAATAAAGATGCAAATATTGAAGAGTAAAATGATAAGTAACATCAAGAGAAATAAGAGAAACTGAGATTTTCAAAACTCATTCCAATTATATAAAACATCTCCCATTTAAAAAGTTGTTATAATCATATAGTAATGCAACTAAAATTAAAAACTCTTAGCAATATATCACTTGGTATTGATAGTACCCCTACTAACCTCTGATTCATCGCCCTTCTCTCTATAAGCAGTTGCAATACTGGTCTGGACAGCCTTAATCCACGCCTGCCGCAGCTTTTCAGAATCTGCCTGGAGCATACAACTTCTAAAAGAAAATAGCATATTGCTTTCTCAGACACTAAATTAACCAGAAAAGAAAAGCAAGTCCCTTAGCTTTATTTTTTCCTCACTTTGCTACTTAATAAGTTTCTAGCAAAAAGTAATTTCTATTGGAAAAAAGGTTTAACTTCATCTATCTTCAGGAAGATGTATGCTCAAGCAAAAGAATCAGGATGCCAATGAAACAAATTATCTCTTGAAAACTACTTTGCACATTAAAAAATTTAAATAAACTCTTAAATTTATGATATGAACATAGCATTATTTTATTATTTATTTGTTTGTTTATTTTTCTTGCAGTACTGGAGATTGAACCCAAGCCCTTCCATTTAGCTATGTCCCTAGCCTTTTTTTTTTGAGGCAAAGTCTTACTGTTACCAAGCTGCCCAGGCTGGGGTTGAATTTGTGATCTTCTTGCCTCAGCCTTGCAGAGTACTGAGGTTTTATAAAATGATAGTTCTCTGAGCTCAGTGGTGCTGCCACCTGCCTTGCAAGCACAAGGTCCTGAGTTCGAGCCCAGGTACCAAAAAAAAAAGTTAATGAGTTCTCAAAGCAATTCATCTGAATTATGATTTTGGTCCATCATCACAGCTAAAAAAATTTTCACATGGGTACATAAATAAACTCTACAGAATTTAAAGAATATAATCCAGTCGGTAAGTTATATAAATATGTCTATAATATTTATAGTCATTAATTATTAAAATTTATTTTGGGGGCAGGTACTTAGCTCAGTGACACTGCACCTGGCTCACAAGCACAAAAGTCCTGAGTTCGATCTTCGGTACCACAAAACAAAAACAAAAAAAAAGAAAGAAAAAAATTTATTTTTAAAATAGTTTTTTTTTTGTTTAGCACAGATGATTGTAAGTGCAGATTTCTCTATTCTGGAAAGTTCTTTAAGACAAACTATAGAAATATAAAAGCAATTCTCAAATTCCTCAGAACTACTTACTTTGTGGGAGAGACTACCTCAAAGCAGAATCGTCTTTCTATGTCTTCACAGTGCTTTACTGTGCAGAGCCTGAGATCTTCAACTACGACTGTGGGGTTATCCTGCAAAAAGGACACAAAGTTTCCATATTTATCAACATACGTTTTAAATATTACTAACTTTACTTTAAATTAGAGAATGAATGGTCTAATTTTAAAGATTTTTATTTTATCATTGCAGATGTAGGTAATAGGTAGGGTTAGTGAACTAGACAATGAATATAGGTGATTCTGAGTCTCACAAAATGATTAGTGAAATAGTTTTTATAAAGAGCTTGGTCAATGCTCCATACATAGCATGTTCAATAAATGTTAGCTCCCTCCTAGTTTTCTTCCATTTTCATTCGGATCCATTACTCTCTCAATCTCTACTCACATATAACAAAAGCTACTTTGCTCCAAAGAGAACCCTTTAATGAATCATGTTTTTAAAACTGCAGCCAGGTATGGTGGTACGAGCCTGTAATCCCAACAATCCAGAGGCTCAGGCCTCTCAACTGTTGAGAATTCAAAGTCAACCTGGGCTACACAGTGAGTTCAAGACCAGCCTAAACTACATAGGCAAGACCCTGTATTAAAACAAAACAAAACCTTCAAAGATGTTTATAAATTCTTTTTTAAATTCCTTTAAAAAGAGAAAGGCTGTACTACTTAATAAAAATGCTAACTCAAAACCAAATTTGTCAGAGTAGAAGAAATCACAAACTACTTAAAGGATTTATAAGAAATAAAACTGCTACTATAGGACCTAGTATGTAAAATTTCACATTATGGCATCTCAAGAGTTAAGTGGATATTTGAAATTTATAGTATACCAAATACCATTCACAAAGGTTAACTAGGTGAAAACCAAGTCATCGGTTCACAAATGGTTTTTCTCTAACAATTTTTAATATTCTCAAATTATAAGTAACCCCAGTATATAAAAATCTTTACCCCTAAAGTTAAGGAAAACAAACATGAATATAGTATTAATAAATTGAGGGGTTTCTATTTAAATTACTTGAACTTACATTTTAATGTCATTTTTAACCTCTCTATATTATTCCTGTTGGTCCTAAAATAGTATTTCCTAAAAGGCATGCTTTGCTTTAGTCTCAAAATAGAACTGTGGAATGGTGGCATGATTACTGTCATGCAGACAGAGAAACAGACTGAGAAATAACCCTGGGGCATAGAAAATCCATCACAAAGCTAAGATTAAAAAGCTAGGATTGGAAATCACTCTGCTTTTAAGGATCAAAAGCTGATGGCTTCCACTGCGGTCTTTGTATGCACACCCACACAGAAAACAAACCATGAAGACAGGAATTTGCCACATGAGCATCTCTGGAGTTCAGTGTTTACTAATGCAGTTAAAGAATAAACATTGGGGATTTACCAGGTTTTCACTTAATTACTTAACAAAACACCTACCTTAAACTTTTTCTGGTAAACCAGTTGATTGTTCTGTATTGAAAACCAGCGTCTAAATAAAGATAAAATAGATTATGTCTTCATAAACCTAAGTTATTTCTGTTGTTGGTAGAAACCAAGTATTTGAGAAAGCATTCACAAATCAGTTTATGGTAATTATGTTGAGAAGTGCATTGTCTTATTTTGCTTTATGTAAACTGATAGTAATATGAAATAGCTACTAAAAATTTAAGAGCAAGTATTTTAAAACCACATATTAAGAAAATAAAATTAGTATATTTTGATTCATTTTATATCATAAATTTATATCCCTACAAAAGCTGTTACTTTCACATTATCACCAAATAGTTTTAAAGTACAAATTTGTCATTTTTAGGTTCCCCAAAATAAACAAAAGCTTTCCTTCAAAATAGTAACTTTTATTGCAAAGTTAAAGTCAGTTTATGCTGTGAATAAAAATATCCATTTGTGTATAGTTAAACATTAAGTGGTTCTTTATTTTCAATCTTTTGGTAGATAATTTAGCAAGTGCTTGATGTAGTAAGCAAAACAGAAAACTAAGCATTTTGAATTTTATCAAACAGGAAATAATCACCAAATAACTTGGCCTTACTTTCATATAAAATACTTCTAAGCAAAATAATCAAAGTTATTACTACAAATGATTCACTCAACTGTTTGTATAGTTCTGCTCATTGTTGTAAATCATTAGGAAAACAATTTACTTGCAATCTTCTTTAGAAGAAAAGGCTAAGCTGTATGTCACACTAATTCCAATTTATTAAAACAATAAAGATCTAAAGACTTAGAGAAATCACAGCCAAAAGCCATTCATAAAAGGAAGCAAAACTTCTCATCAAGCATGAAAGGTAAAACAATGAGTCATTATTTTAAAATTAGTTTCATGTGAAAAAAAATTAGATTCATGTAAAATGATTTCATTATAAGTATTAGTTATTAATCTATTAGCAGATATTCTACCTTTTCATTGATGCTAATACAAAGTACTAAAAATTATATTTGGTCTTTTAGAATTTCTATTCCTAACAATTTGGTTACTTCTCCAAAGCTAGGAAATGATTAGGAAATCATATTTAAGCCTTTTACTGGACTGTTAGGTTTTCTTGCCACTTAAAAATAAGCATCTAGATAAAATAAAGTGGGTTGCCTCTAAATGCAAATCATCATCCAGAGGTACCCTAGAAAAGGAAGAACTTCTGGGTGTCTTTGCTTTGCAGAGACAGTTGTTAGAAACGTTAAACTCCCTACACGCAAACAAAATGGTGCAGCCCTGCCACGTGGGATGACATGCAATGGATACAATCTCTGAAGTGACTAAAGTGCATGGTTTTTTCAAATCATTTGAAGGATGATGAACTATATTAATAAGGATTCATAGATTTTGTGCTGTGGCAATATTACATGATTTGATGAAAGCTATTGTTTTATTGAAAAATGGAAAAGCACCCATATGATCATGCTAATTTTTCATGCTTCTGAGATCTTTGAAAAGTAATAGCTTTTGACCTACTGCATCTTAGGACAATATCCTCTGAAAATAATAATAAAACACTAGATAAAAACTTAAGAGGATTTTGTCAGAGGCCATTGCCTCTGATGACTAAATTTATGGATAATACATATTTCTGAAGCCCACTTTTCCCACTATTTATCTGCTTCTGGGTAACAGTCCCAAATTATCAATTTCTTACTCTTGGTAAAAACAACACAAACTCATCTTAATTGGATTTCTAATAAAGAAAAAGGTCATGTAATAGACCATAGTTGGAAAACATTTTTTAATTAAAAAGATCTGTATGTCTTACGGCACTATCTCCCCATGCTGCCATTAAACATAAAAAAAGCTCACTACACTCATCTAACATTAACCAACACTTTAATCAGGAAAGTAAAATGGAATGTAATTTTTAACTGTAGAATAATCCTAGTTATTAACACTTCTAAGAAAGGGAAAAATGAGACAAACAGATCATGGCCTGCAGAATATAGGGGAAAAGACAATATTTTAAGCCTTTAGAACCTGAAATTTCAAAGTACTAGGAAAAAATACTTATATCCAAAGAGATAAACTTTAGAAAGCATTGTACTAACAATATTACACTATACTGTACTCTACAAGATTAAGAAACTGAGCACAAAGCCAAAACACGACAATTTCTAAAAAGGAAAATCTGTTGCTAAGAAAAATAAAAATACCATTTTATATCTATCTCAACTTGAAGAGATTCAGTATATTTTAAAAAGAATATTAAATTTGGAAAAAACTAAATACAATTAATTTTTTTTTTTTGGTACAGGGGATTGAACTAGGGGCCTTGTACTTGCAAGGCAGGCACCGGAACCACTGAGCTAAATCCCCCGCCCAATACAATTAATTTCTACATGCAATGAAAGCTTCCAGATTACAAAATGGGGCAGGCAAGGAAATATACAGAGTCTACCAAAAAAAAAAAAGTATACACACTTCAGGAAAAAAAATAGTGTGATTTTTTTTTTCAACGGATGGGATTAGCATCATATGGAGGCCCCTAGAGAATGTCATATTTCACAGAAACCCACTACACTGCCAGCACTTAGAGAAGTAATTGAAAATGCATGTGCAGCAATCTCAATGACCAAGGTTACGCAGGCAGCAATTTGCCATACTAATAAATGTCTGGAAGCTCATGGCCACCACTTTGAGCACCTCTTATAATTGTAGGGCCCAAAGGTAACTTGTATTAATCTCATGATGTCTCAATAAATTTAGTATTCAAGTATTTATACAAGTTTTTCTTTTCCTGAAGTATGTATACATTATTTGGCAGACTCTACATATATATATAAAATCTTTTCCCATCTTTAATCAGTAGTTCCAGAACTGCACTTGAACATGAGTACGTCAAAGAATCCATAGAAACTTTACCACTAAAACTATAAAATGATGGGTTCATGTACATATTCATAAAGATGCCACGTAGATTAACATTTAATAAAATAAAGGTTTGAATATTCCTTTAAATTCAATTTGTTACTCACAATGAAAAAAGTGGCACTGCAAAGTATTAGGAACGGACAATGTATTCTTTCAACATAATTAATATGAGTACCAAAGGTACTAATTCTAGTTCCTCAAATTTTTAAAAAGTTTGCTACTATATTTCCCTTGTTTAAAAAAAATAAAGTCATAAAGATATTTATGTTACTCAATCTGCATCTTCTTTGAGTAATTATAAGCACATTAAATGTTCTTTTACAGATTAAACTGACAAATGGGCAATTAGAAGGTATAATTCCATTCCTCAAATAAAACGCTTAGATTTTCTTCCTAATTTAAAACATAAAGAGACTTTTTATCCATTGCAAGTAATCCAACAGAAATGCAGGTTAATTATGAGTTCTCTCATGCCAAAGAAGAAACTGGAATAAGGTGAGGATGAAGGGAAGGAAGCCATTTGGTACCTGATATGATCGGGCTTTTTCCTGTCATGTGAAAAAATGGAGCAGGATTAAAACATAAGGGAAAGGCGGTAAAAGAATGAAAAACGCAAATGTGCAAAACAAGCAGAGGACTAGCATGATACAAAAATAAAGCATGAATCAAAGGAACAAGCTGAAGCTTATAACCTAACAAAACAGTCAAAAGTATCTGTGGCAATTTATTTACTTATCATATATGTGCATTTGTAGAGTTCATTCCAACTCAGGAAAATATAATGCTAATATTTTAGATACATTCAAAAACTTGCTTCAAGTATTACCTTACAAAAAAGTTCTAGTAGGAAGACAGCATAGCCGGGCATACCTCTATTATTATTTTCTGCCTCTAAGGTCATGACTATAAAGTATAGCTAGTACCTTGTCACAATTAATAAGCTGCTCAAAAAGTAAGATGAAATAATCACTGTAGGTATATATACATACATCTAGGACAAAAACTTTTCATAAAGAAAGTGGGGTCACTAAGAATTTCAAAGATAAGAGATTAGCTGAATAAACCTCTCACCTTCACTACCCTATTTTCTTCAAATGACAGCAGAGTCTAAGGCCTCATACAATTAGAATTCATCTTTAATCTATATATAACTTACTTTTTTCTCCCTTCCCCTGCCCTCCCTTCAACCCTTCCATCCCTCTACACTTACTTTTTTAAAAAGCCAATAAAAACAAAACGTATCTATACCAGCATTACAGAATACTGTTTTTTTAAAAATTGTGAAACGTATTTTATGCTTTAACTATATTTTCTAGTGCAACAATGATATCAGCTTTTATTAGCCTTTCCAAACTATTACTAAATAAATTACCTTAATATTTATTTTCTGTGTTAATCATCTTTTCTAAATTATGAAAAGCAAAAAATAAAATTAAGTTCTAAAAGTCCATTAGTTTAAGCCTGAAGTGAAGCTGCCACACTGAGAAAATTACCTGATAAGAAAAAATTTTTGCAGCAGACCTCACATGTGTCTTCAGAAAAAAAATATATAGTAACCCTTTGGTATGTGTGAGAGACTGGTCCCAGGACCCCAGCAAACATCAAAATCGGTATTCACACATAATCTAAACACATCCCCACATGTGTATTATGTAATATATATACATACATATACACATACTTATCTATAAAAATACACACACATTTTTTTCTCTTTTTTTGTAGTAGTGGGGATTGAACCCCCAGGTCTTCACAGTGAGACACATCCCCACCTTCACCCCTTTTTTGAGATAGGGTCTAAGTCTCTAAGTTGCCCAGGCTATGCTCGAATTTGCAATCTCCTGCCTCAGCCTCCCAAAGTGTGAGGTTACAGACAGGTAACACTATGCCCAGCTTTTAAAAATTGTTTAAAGGAGACAATGTCTTGCCAGGCTGGTCTCAAACAGCTAAACATGAATGATTCTCCATCAGCTTCCAGTAACTGGACTACGGGTACACGCCACTGTACTCTGCTCTCCCATGTATTTTAAATCATCTCTAAATTACTTATAATACTTAACATAATGTAAATGCCACATAAATAGCTGTTAGACATCATTGTTTAAGGAACAATAACAAGAAAAAAGATCTGTAGATGTTCAGTATAATTTTTTTCCTAAGTATTTCTGATCTATGATTGGTTGGAGCCACTGATGTGAAATCCATCTGTATGGAGGGCAATTTATTTAGATGTATATTATTTTGAGACATCACAAACCAGAAACCTGAAACCAATCAATCCATATGAGATGTAAAATTTTTCACTCCTTATGCTATGTGAATCATGTCACAGAAAATAGATCTATTCAACTAATTTCAGGTTATACCCTGACTTTCAAAACAAAATTCTAATTTATGAAGCACAGGGTAAAGTTTTAAAACTATTTGGAAACTGCCAGTCATATTCTCATATCCTTCAGGAAAGAAGTCATTTTTAAAAGTCGACATTTCAAAATATAATGCCATAATTCCATAATAAGTACAGATAATGGAAAATGTATGGTTATGTGATTGCTACATTACGGTGAGTACACCACCATACTTTCCCTAAAAGTAACCAAACAATCTACGAAAATCTCTTAAGCAGTGGTCAGAAAAATCTACATATATGAATAACTGGATTCCTACAGTTGTTAAAGGCATAAATACCACAAACACAGTCTTATTCACAGGTCAGCAGAATACATTAAAGTAAGCTGGATGGAGAACTCATTAGGGAAGTAGGGCATTTGCAAAGGTAAACATGAGTAAAGGGAAATTACTGGTAAATACTGCCTTAGATTAAAGAAATACAGATAGAATATAAAATTTTAATATTAAAAAACAGAAGAAAACTTTAAATAACATTTGTTACTGTTTGGACCTAAAATGTCCTCCAAAGCCTCATGAGCTCATAGGTGAGGCCTTTGGAATGTGGTTGGATGATGGGATTTAGAGCTGGCTCTCTGTTAGAAGGTGGCCTCTGGTCAGCAGAGGTGAGTCACTGGGGGCATGGTCTGGAAGGATTTATCTCCTCCCTGCTCCTCCTTTTACTCTCTCTGGTCTTCCTGCCACCATGGTGCCATACCATAGGAGTCTGCCAGGCTGCTATACCAGTCTACCACACCACCCTGCTTTGGAGCCAGGAGACTACGGCCTAAAACCTTTACAAACTGTGAGCCAAAATAAACGTCTCGTTTAAACTGTGGGTGTTGGGTATTTTGTCCAGCAATGAGGAAAGTACTGTATGACATTAAATAGAGCAGTCTTTTTTTTTCTCCTATTTTCATAATTCCTTACTGCTATGGTTTAGATATGATGTGTCCCAATGGTATATAGGTTGGGAACTTAAGCGTTTAGTGTGGCAGGTTCTTCAAGAACCTAGTGCTAGGTTCTGAGGTCACTGAGGATGCAACCTATGAAAGGGATTCATGCTGCTCTCCTGGAGTCAGTTCCCAGGTGAGGAGACTATTACAAAAAGAGAATCCTGGCCCCTTCCCATCCTCTTGCTTCCTGTCTCACCATGTGAGCTCTTCTATACACACTTCTGCTGCTGTAATGACATCCACCATGAGGCCCTCACTAGAGCCCACACAATATTGGACTTTCACCCTCTAAAACTATAAACTAAATAAATCTCTTTTCTGAACATCCTTTAAAACTTCCTTTCTTTACTGAAAATTAGGGTATTGTACCATGCTATTTTTATATCTAAAATGTTCCCCATGTGTTCAGAGGTGAGGCCTTTTGTAAGGTGACTGGATCACGGGGCACTGTATCATCAGTGAATTGATCCATTGATGAGTTCATAATTGAATGTGCTGCTGGGAAGCGGGGCCAGGTGGAAAGAGTCAGGTCACTGGGAGCATGACCTTGAAGGGTGTATTCTTACAGCTGCTTCCTCCCCTTTCTCTCTCTGATTTCAGGCTGCCATGAGGTAAGCAACTGTCCTCCATCATGCCCTTCTACCATGAAGTTTCTGCCTCAAAGCCAAATGACCATAAACTGAATCCCCCGAACTGTTACCCAAAGTAAATCTCTTCTTTAAGTTAGAGGTGTTGGGTACTGTGACCAGTAACAAGAAAGATAACTAATGCAAGCTACAAGTTACGGTTCTGGTCAACAACTCTCATCTCACTATATACAAACAAGTGGCATATCTTTCTAAAAGCCTAATTTCCAAAGGCAGTCTCTTTTTCCTATTGCAGATGGTAGAAACATGTCTACAACTGAGGATTTAACAGTTATACCTGGGCTGGGGATTTAGCTCAGTGGTTGCGGCGCCTGCCTTGCAAGCGCAAGGTCCCGAGTTCCATCCCCGGTACCAAAAAAACCCAGTTATATCCAACTTCATTTTATTTATATTTAATGTTATTAATAGAATTCATAAAACAAGTAATAGAAAAGGAAAAGGTCCATACTTAAAACGAAATTCATATTCTCCTACTACCCTAAAAGCGGTACAATTTTCCACTAACACTTACTGTTCTTCGTTTTGAAGTCTGAGATATTTCTTAAGGAAGTATTCCATGAAAGTTCATTTCTTTTCTTCTTAACATAATGGTATGTTTCTTTGCATTTATTATATTTTCATTTTGGTAAACTTTAAGGAGGTTGTTTTGAAATGTGAAGGTTAAAATTTAATTCTAACATTACATCATAAAATTATATTGGTTGAGTAATCTTTATTATAAAGATTCACCAATCACAGTAATATTTTTCTTTAATTTCCTATTCTAGCTACAGAAACTTGCCAGGTAAGACTTAAAAGATTGTCTTAATTTTTCAGAGGTTAGAAAACAATTTTAATTTTTCATTTTTACTTTATAATAACTGGGAACATTGTTTCTAACCTGGTCACTTAAGTTGGTCCTCCTATGTTTGTTATTAGTTTTAAAAGTTCTACCTACCTAACTTGAAGAGACTTAATATCTAAGATAATCACTGTTCTTTTTATTTTATATTCACCCTCAGGTAAAGAAAACTTATTTCAAATAAAATCATGTGCCATTTAAACATTCATCAATATCAAATGCTAGAGAAATGCTCAATAAATCAGACATTTGGAAATATTGCTGTTTTTTCTAACCTAAACTGAGAAATCAAAATAAGCATATTAGGAACCTATTTCAATAAAGTATTGAGTGTTTCAATTTAATTTTACAAAAATATATACTAACTTAAACTTACCAAGAAATTTCTATTTATTTTACTCTTTTTTTAAATACAAAACTAACCTCTATGATTAGACAAATTCATATCCTGTTCAAGTAATAAAATATACATATTTCAGCCAATATTATAATATTAAATCAATCAGGATCTAAATACTACTCTAAGTTATTACAAAATTATCCTGACTACATTTTTTTTTTGGTACCGAGGATTGAACTCAGGATCTTGCACTTGCGAGGCAGGTGGTGGAACCACTGAGCTAAATCCCCAGCCTGACTACATTTTTTTGACAAAAAAAAAAAAAAAATTAGGTATCCTTGCATAAGATTAATCACTGATTTTCAGAACAATGTTCCTGAGCTTTGTAATTATTTGATGCTTTAAGGTCTGAAATTATTTCCATTTACTGTATCAATACAGGTAAAAATAAAATAAAACATTTCATGTATTCATTCTTTTTTCTTTTTTTTTTTTTTGGTACCAGGGATCGAACTTGGGTCCTTGCACTTGCAAGGCAGGCAGCAGAACCACTCCTGTATTCATTCTTATAACAGACATTTAGTGAATTTATATTTTGTAAAAAATTAGCAAAAATTCAAAATTTTTGGTATCCATCAAGTTTAGAATAAAGGAGCAATCATTGCCATAATTATCCCATATGAAAAAAAAAATTCCATTTCCTTAAGCTCCTAATTAATTAGTTATTACCAAAGACCAAACTTTCGGGCCACCTTGCTTAACAATTCATAAGCAAACACCAGGAAAAACATACATAAACATCAGACAGTGGAGGAACCAAAAACAGAAAAAGCCCACTTATTCTATTTATCAATTATATTCAACATATAGTTTTTTCTGCGATCTATTTTGTAATAAATGAGAGGCAGTTCATATTCAAAAGTCCCTACAGACCAAGAATTGCAGAAATTCTCTTTGCTTCTTCCTTTAACCCTTGCTTAAATTGTAGAATTAAGAATTAATGTCTTTATTTTTTTCCTGCTTCTAATAGCCATCTTTTCAATGGACCCCAGGAATTTAAACAGAAGTTAGGGAATTATGAAGAAAAGAGTTGCCAAATCAAGGGGAAAATCAGAAACTACAAATCCAGAAGGAGAAGGACTAGTATTTGAACTATGTTACCTGTTCCATGTTTTGAAGGCATTGCTGGCTCGTTTGAACAGATATCCTTCCATGACTATGCCATTTGCAGCGTCTACATTGTATTCTAACTTAGAATCATCACTGGAGAAATCCTAGACAAAATTACACACAGAAGTTTATGGCTTGACACATTCCCTAGAAAAATAAACTTATCCTAGGGAAAGAGCTCAAAAGGAAGAAAGTCTTATTAAGATGATTATGAAAACTATATTCATAAGAAATGGGGAGAGAGATCCAAATGATCGATATTGAGGACTGCTTCAACACATTTAAAGTATTTCAGTTTAATGGACTATCATGCAATAATTATTACAGTGATGGTGTAAAAACAGGTGATTACATAGAAAATATTATAAAAGAAAATAAAAATATAAATTGTATTAAAAGGGAAAATAATATACAAATAGACAAAGAGAACAACCAAATATTACATACACTATTATCTTTAAAATGGTTTTCTTTTATGCTATTTTATGGTGATATGTGTCAATAAAATTTTAATGGCATATGGATACATTTAATTGGGATTATTTGAATCTACACTATTTACTAAATATATTACTACTATGGTAGCTTTTTAATCTGATAGTAGTAACTCTATTATTTTAAAAAATCAGAAATAGTGTAAAAGAACTGCAGAATTTTTTTTTCTTTTTTTGCTAAAATAAAATTTAGTTTTACAAAAGAGAAGGACCTTAAGATCACAGTTTAGTTTGGGCATGTTGAGCCCACCTTTTTATGAGGACTATGGAATTACTCATAGTCATATTGTAATAATCATTCAAGTCTATATTTGAATGCAATTCAAACTTTCAGTTTTCCTCCAAAGAGTTACAAAACTCAGAAATCAGAAATCCAATATTCAAAATATTTCCTATCAAAGTTTCAAACCATTTTGAACAAAACTCCAAGATTATGGCTATCACGGCACATTAAATCTCTAAAAACCAGTCTTAGAACTGTCAAAGTGACTCCTGCACCAGTGAGTAAAATTAGAATGCTACCTGTCTTGAGAAACATTTTGGCAAAAGCTGGATGAACTGCCTGCTGAGAATACTGAGATGTGAGGGACCTGCATTAGAGGGAAGGCAGAGTGAGAATCACCCAGGGACCTTCCAAATCCAAGAGTCTACTAAGATATGAGAAAGAAACAGATTGAATTCAGAAATTTTTTGAAAATTTTAAATCTCCTGGTATCTATTTCAAACTCTGATATAACATAAAATGATCAAATGAAGCAGAATGTATAAAGGCATCTTCACATGTTGTCCTACTTTTTTCTTTGAAAAAGCATCAGAGAAACTTTTAATTCCCTCATTTAAAATTTATTTGAGGGTATAATTTTTTTTAACAGTACTGGGGATCAAATCCAGGGCTTCAAAGCACTCTATCACTGAGGTATGTCCCCAATGTGAGCGACACTTTAATTATGTGGACAAGAATAAGTCAGCAGTAGGTAACAATGACATCTGTAACATTCTTGAGGTTTCATTTGTGACATCTGCAGTTTTATTTAATAGGCCTTATTCTACTTAAGACATAAAATAATGATGATGGGGAGGTAGCTCAGTGGGAGAATAGCTAGCACATGCAAGGCCCTAGACTCGATCTCTAGCACTGCAAAACGATAAAATAAAATGAGATATAAAATAAGACTTCCTAATAATATCAAGAATCAACAAATATGACTACATCAAATTATAAACCTTCTGCACAAGAAGGGAAACAAATCAACAGAGTGAAGAGACAACCTACAGACTGGGAGGAAATCTTTGAAAACAGAATTATCGAGAGAACTACAAATAGCCAAAAAATGCTCAACATTTTTAGCCTTTACAGGAATGCAAATCAAAACTACATTGAGATTTCATCTAACCCCTGTTAGTATGGCTATCATTAAGAATGCAAAAAAGGGTCAGGGATTTAGCTCAGCGGCATAGCGCCTGCCTGGCAAGTGCAAGGTCCCAAGTTCTATCCCTGGTACCAACAAAACTAAATAAATAAATAAACAAACTGGCACTGTTCGTGGGACTATAAACTAGTACAACCACTACGGAAATCAATATGCAAATTCCTCAAAAAACTAAAAATAGATACATATACCACACATTGGTACATTCCCAAAAGAATTAAAGACTGCACACGATAGTGATACATGCATGCCCATGTTTGAAGTGGCACAATTTACAACAGCTAAGCTGTAGAAATAGGCTACATCTCATTAATAGATGAACAGATAACAGAAACGTGGTATATGTACACATGGAGTATTATTCCACTCTAAAGAACAAAATCATGTTATTTACAGGAAAATCAATGAAACTAGAGACCCTCATGTTAAGCAAAATAAGCCAGTCTCACAGTTAAATATTGCCTGTTTTCCCTTATATAAGCAATATGAAAACAAATGTTTTAAAAATAAATAAAGGAGAAATGACAGAAACTAAACTTTTAGAGATAGGCATGGGGATCAGGAGGCAAGGGAGAGGACAGTAACAGGGATAAAAATAATCAAAATATACTAAGCAAATCACATTGTTCTGTAGCACTAATAGGCACCAATTAAAAAAATTACCAATTTGGATCTTTCTAGAGTAGTGCTATACATTTTAGTAGTCATCATTTATTACAAAGTGAGTGTCCAAGGGAAAAAAATGAGATGTTTCTCTATTTTTCAATTATATTTCTTGAGATAATTTAAATCTTCAACTTATTCACCATTAATATCAATTAATATTTGAAGTATTTAAAATATGACAGATTATAGTACTTATATGTAAAAAAATTAAGGCTATATATGGGCTAATTAAAATGTATGAAAGATTTTATAAATAACGCTGGATGAAATGCATTCCATCAGAATCTGACTGCAGTTATCTGACAACAAATGAGGAAAGAATACTCTAAGGTAGTGATGAGGAACATTTAGAGCTTTCAATGATAACAGTCTACTGTGATAAGCCTCCCATAGGTTTGTCACTGCTCTGAGGCAAAAAGATAAATGGAAATTGGAAGGCAACGAGGTCAACAGAGCAAGGCATCCAGCTTTCACCTGGAGGTCCTTTGACCATCAGGAGAGCCTGAGTTTTCATGTGGGGCCCAAGGGATGCAAGGCTAAATCAAGGATGGTCAAAGAAGCTTTTCTAGAGAAACTGCAAGGCAAGAAAGACCACTGTCACTTCCATTTGAGATTATGAAAAGGGTCCTAGACAACAAGACAGCACAAAAAAGGTAAAAGATTAGAAAGGAAGAAACAAACTATCATTATTTATGAATAAGACTTTGTACTCAGAATATCCAAAAGAATCCAGAGATAAATCAGTATTAAAAGAGAATTAGCCTGGCAACTTAGCAGGACTCTGTCTCAAAATAAAAATGCTAAAAAGGACTGGGGATCTGCTTAACCGTACCGCAAATGCCTGGCATGTGTGAGCCCCTACATCTGATCTCTAGTACCACACACACAAAAAAAGGACAAATCAAAACCACAATGAGATGTCAATTACCTACTATCACATGGGCAAAACTACACTTACACTACAACAAGGTGACAAGGAGCAACAGGAACTCACATAGTGATATCTGCCAGGAATGGAGTAACATTCTAGAACACAATTTAGCATTAGCCACTATGTATGAACGTACATACACTCTCTTGAGGCAGCAGCTATATTCCTTGTATAAATCCACCAGAAAGTATCAAAAGGCATGGATACAAATGCTCATAGCATCACTTCTTCAGCTGATCAATGTCAATTCCTTAAAAAATCTAAATAATTACATTAGATATACTTTCCCTTAAACTTCAGTTGATTGGACTTTTTTTTTTTTACCTGTAATGCAGCCTTATGTCAGCATTTAAGGGAAGAATAAAGATAAGTATTCATGATGAGCAAAAATAGTATTATTTTATTTAAAGGAAAACAGTTGTATATGGTTTAAAATCAAATAATCTAGTCCCAGATTTAATAATTCACCAGTTTTGGACTTTCAGTATAATAGTAAACTATGCTCATAATAGGAAAAGATATTAAAAGATTTATTTTAAAAAATTAGTTTAGGAAAATATCACAAATTTCTATACATGTTGTGATCTCGCATTTTAATTAAAAATGACTGGTCCCAGGCCGGGGATTTAGCTCAGTGGTTTCGCCACCTGCTGTGCAAGCACAAGGACCTCAGTTTGATCCCCTGGTACCAAAAAAAATGATTGGTCCCAATTTTTAAGTCTTTTCATGAAAATGTCACTAAAACAACTTGCAAAACATCATGTTTTATACCCTTAATATACACAAATTTTACTTGTCAATTTAAAAAAATAAGTTTCTCAAAAGTTTATATTACTTAAAACGAAAGAACATATGGAATTAGTATCATCTGACAATAACTAGGGAGTAACTAAAGATGGCCTGACAGAAAATCTTTCCTTTTTTTAATACTATTTCTCTGAGCATGAATAATCCGTCAATTAAATTTTTCTTACTTTTATTACTGATTTTGCTTTTTTTCCTCATACATCTTCTATGTCAGATTTAGTCTATGAGTATTTTAAATTCTAAATAAACAGGACCGGGGATGTAGCTCAGTGGCACAGTGCCTGCCTGGCAAGCATGAGGCCCTGACTTCAAATCCTGATACAAAAAAAAAAAAAAATCATCTAAATAAACCATAACAGCCAGGCATGGTGGTGCATGCCTGTAATCCTAGCACTTGGGAGGCTGAGGGAGGAGGATTGCCAGAAGTTTAAGGCCAGCCTAGGTTACATAGTGAGTTCAAGGCCAGTCTGAATTACACAGTGAGACCATCTCAAAAAAAAAAAGGAATAAATTCTAAATAAACCATAACAAAAGTTGATTTGTCTGCTCAATACCAAGAGAACAAACAGATTTAAAGCAAACCAGAAAGCATCTTGTGATATATGTGTATTACTGCATTCAAACTCCAACTGTCTCCTTTTATTTTCAGATTACTGCAGAAAAGAATCACTAAGATAAAATAGAGTTATGTTGAGTTTCAGGCATGTCACATTCAACTCTAGCAATAAAAACGTTTTTAATGTTTTTCATTTTTAAAATTTTTACAAATTAAGTTTAGCTATGCTTAGGCAATTTAACAAGCAGTGCAAATTTTAGCACCACAGGAAAGAGAGCCAGTGTTGCCTTAGGGTGCCTGCAACTAGAAAGTCTAGAACACTGACACTAAGATCCACATTCATATTCTCTCTCTCTCTCTCTCTCTCTTAAATAAGGCTGGAGGTATCCTAAAAAAAACTATGAATAGTAATATTTTAAATTCTAAGGGTCATCTTTAACTTAGTTATGTCCCTAAGAGAGTAAGATTTTTTATGATGAGAGCATGGCTCCCAAAACACTTTGATCTGAAAGGATAATAAAATTTATACCTTAACATCTTAAACCTATGTTTCACAAAAAGAGGAGGAATTTATCTATATTATGTTGTAATTAAAGCAACTCAAAGGATTTGTTCCAACACAGTGGTACCTTGTTTAAATCAATACTAATCAAGCAACTGCATAAAACAGAAATTAACTTTTTCCTTCATGTACCTTTTGTTGAATGGTGGAATGTTTTTGTTCCATCTCCCTTTTCTCCTTTGCTGCATCCACCACCAGTCGATCCAACTATAAAATGGGGTAAAGATTAAATTGTAGACTTAAAAATCAAAGAAAAAAATGTAAGGTTTTTTCAAACTATATTCCAATATATTACATAGAAAAACAAGCAATACGTCATTCAATTTATCTAAAAAGGCATTTTGGCTAAATATTAAAGTTTACATTTTTTTCTGGTATTAAAATCCTCCTTGGGAAGGTCCTTATCTCTTCTAGAGAGGAGGTTTCCAAGAACAGTGCCAGTGCCAAGCATGCACAACAGGGGGCCTCATCTTGGGCACTGCATGATAACATGTTTGGTTCTTGAATAAGGAAATGACTATCGTATGCTTCCTGCTGATGCACTCGGCAATTTCTGGTTATTACAATCAAAATTATAAAGAAGATACACTGGTATTTCCCAGTGTCCCAGAGAGCAAAATGTAGTGCAGCTGAGTTAGTGCAGCCAACTCACACAAGTTCACACTAGCAGACACTGCCCGTCATTCAAGATGTGTTAGCTTTGCAAGTTGGCTTCCTAAAGGTGCATGCAAATCTAAATGGTAGAAAAAATAAATGATCAAATGAAATTGCTTAAAGAAAGAGTAATAATAAAAGAATAGCAATCCTTTGCTTTGAGGTGCCATTATCTACTGCGTTACCCACAGAATATCCCAAGTGACCACCTCCAAATAGGCCCTATTATCCACTAGGCACTACAGGCAGTATGGCTTATTAGGTATTTTTCAAGAGCCTGCAAACTTATTTGACATTTGAAGTATATAAAACTGAATTTAGTATATGTCTAAAAATAAATTTTTATTTCTTGTCAAGTACAATTTCAATTCATACTGTTTTTCAAAGTCTTACTGAATGTAAGATGAGAGTGCAATCTAATGTTTGATAGGATATGAGGAGTGCCTACAACCTAGGAAGGTCTTACCTTCCTGAAAGTCTGGGGTAGGCTCCTGTCTGTATGCTCCCATAACATCCTGTCCTTCCTCTGTATGGTGGGAAAGCCTAGCTGTTCCCAATATCTATTTTCTTTTTGTTCCAATAACAATAGAATTGTCAAATTCTATATATCATATTCTGGCATTAAGGCTGTATTTCCCAGGTTTCCTCACAGCAAGTGTGACCTTGACTAACCACCGGCCACGGGGATGTACACAGAGGTGACATGTACAATTTCCAGGAAATGTCCTTAAGGCAAGAGAATGTGTCCTTTCCCTTTCCTCCTGACTGCTAGCTAAAATTTGAGAATGATGGCTAGAACTTGATTAGCTATTATGAACCATGAGACAGAATAAATTAAAACACAAAATAAGCCTGGGTCTCCATGAATCAAGGGACCACAATACCACATCTTTGCTTTTACATACAAGAAATAAAATTCTATCCTTCTGAACTACTAGTATTCTCATTTTTCTATCACTTGCACACAAACCCAATCCCAAATGATACACACAGAGCATTCAGCACAGAGGTGAACAGTCTGGTGACTTGTTGGTTTCTTTCAATTAAGTTAAACAGAAACAGGAAACCGATCTGTATACTTCACAACATAAGCCCTGAACATCACACCTAGCCCACATCATCTCAACACACACACCCTACACATACACTCTGAACAGTGAATCCCATTCCCATTCCTATCTTACCTTTCTCTCTTCCCTAAACCATATCTTTCATCATTAATCCCCTGTCCTCAAAAAGAAAACTGACTGGTCCGGGGATTTAGCTCTGTGGTTCTGGCGCCTACCTCACAAGCGCAAGGTTCCGAGTTTGATCCCCAGTACCAAAAAGAAAAAAAAAGAAAACTGATTGCTCTGTGCCCACTCAGGGATGCTACAAGGTTAGCCAGGTGTTGTGGTGCAAGTCTGTAATCCCAGCACTAGGGAGGCCAAGGCGGGAGGATCACAGAGTTAAGGCCAGCCTGAACTACAGAGTGAGACCCTGTCTCAAAAAAAAACAATACAACTAAAAAAGGAAACTGAACAATCTTGGCAAAGACAACCACCTAAAAACCTACACCATTAAATCAAGAAAGCTCACCAATGAATAAAAACAACGGCCCCAGGGGCTGTGAGTATAGCTCTGTGGTAGAGTTTGCCTGCCATGCACAAGGCCTTTGGTGCAATTCCCAGCAACCTCCCACCAAATAAGTTCCCCAACACACTGAATATATATTTCTGATAAGATGTGAAAAAATTTTCAGCAAAATGAAACTTCCATAAATATAATTCCCTTGTAGTATAATTTTAAAACATGCACATACACACACACACACACACATGGAAAAAAGAGATACCTAAATGTAGTCTATGTAAAATGAAAAAGTTTCTGGGGGGGTCTATAATCCTAAAATTCTAAAATTTCATTATTCAAATAATAAAACATGAGTTTTGGAAAATAAAAAGATGTATAAATCAAATGAAATGTAAACTAGGACAGTAACTCAATTATTCAAGTGTAAAATATTAAAAACTAAATCTAGCTATGTATACGTGAGAATAGACAGTGTATTTTTACATTCACCTTTTTACTACCCTCATATACAATCTATAACATAAGGTTATTTTTAGCTCTAATTTCATTTCTGGTTATATATTTAACTCACATATAAATATGCTCCAGGACCAAACTTCTTTATGAAGTAAATGAAATGTCAAATCCCCCAATATGCTACATTTCTTCAAAAATATAAATATCAATGTACGGTATAGAATCAAGTTATATAGCTCAACATTACCTGTGCTCCAAGGTCTTTCATGTAGGGCCCAAGTTCACTAAACAGATCATATCCTTGATGAAAGAAGGCCAAATGTGCATACATAAAGGATAACATCTAATAGGGAAAATAAAGACTGCCATTTTAAAATCCAATCCTAGACAAATACTAGGAAATATTTTAAAGTCCTTGTCTTATTTAATGCTTAAATATTATTTCAAAAGAGCCCATAACGTCACACCTATTTAAAATTAAACTGTGTCATTTTTCTTAGGAGCATTTCATAAATATTTGCAAATACAATGAGAATTTTGTTTTAAAGAAATTTCCCAATGGTTGGAAACTTTGCCCCAAATTTGTATTTGTTTAGACTGTATCTCGGTACACAAAATTTATATAGCTATTCAAATAATGAAATTTTTAAGTTTCACTATCTTCCCAGGCACATTATTATTTAACTATGTGCTCCTTGAACTAAGCTCACTGATAAACCTTAAGCAAATAAGACAAAAAATAAAAAGAAAAAACATAAAGCTCTCAAAATAAACAATCATAAACACTTTACAACCAAGCACAACCTAAACTAACAAAATCCTCCTGTAATAAAATGAATTAACAGACTGTCGATTTAGAGATTTCTTTATATTCATTCCACAAATCCAAAAATGACATTAAGGAATGTTTTTTCCAAGGTTTTTCTGTATATTACTTGTCCATACAGAAAAATCACCCTTACTTTATTAGTTGAGTTTTTACATGGGAAGGAATTATATAAAATGAATAGTGTTGCAAGAATCATCTGACCTCCATGTTTTTAGTAAGATGTATTTGTTTAATTCTCTGAAGTCTAAAATTGGTCATAAGGTTCTTAATATTCAAGAATCCTCCAAAGAAAATTTTGCTTCCAAGAGAAAAAAACAACTAAATAAAAAAATGATCAAAGATAAAAGGATAAAACTCACAAGAGGAAACTTTGATAATGGTTTGTGTGTATAATTTTTTAAAAACCACTAAATTGTTGAAAAAAATGGGGGAAGGAATAGGGCTACATTAAATGTAAAATATGGCTACATATCAAAACATATTATAGGCATATTAAGACAAATAATAAACCAGGAAAAAAAGGATGACAAAGAGTTAATATGTAGGTGGTGTCACAAATCAGTATGAAAAAATAAACACTTCAACAGAGTAAGACACCAAAGGGTATATAGGGTACAGATGTGACAAAAAAAAGGAGTTCAAACAAATTTGTATTAATGAAATGCAAAACTAAATAATGAGATCACAATTTCTATCTGCCAATGGGGTAGGGGGAGGGAAACTGTAATACTCATTGTTGATAAAATGTGAAGTATTTATTTACACACACTGTTAGCGGAAATACAGTATAATTCTTAAATTTGACAATATTTTTAAAAACTTATTCACTATTTAAACCCTCTAAGTGATCCCGTCTTTAAATCTATCCTAAGACAATAATCAGATTACTCACTAGAATTATTACTACCATGCTAAGTTTTAACTCAAAAACATGGAAATTACTTCAACATCCATTAATTGATGAAGATAATTTATGGTATATTCAAGGTCAGCAAACTATAACTTACAAACTATCCAGCCCTACCACCTGTTTTTGGATGACCTATAAGGTTAAAAATGGTTTTTACATTTCTAAATGACTGAAAGAAAATGAAAAAGACACATGAAATTTATGACAAGTGAACACTATATGGAATTGGAATTTCTGTGACCAGAAATGAAGTTTTACTGGAACACAGCCATGACCATTCATTTTCATATTAGCTATGTCTGCTTTCTCATTACAAGGGGACAGTTGAGTACGTGCAACAGAGACCACACAGCCTGCAAAACCTACTATAATTACAAAAAAGTTGCCTATCTCTAGCCACAAAAGCCATCATTAAATATTACTGTCAACACATTACTGTCAATCTGGAAAACAAACAGGGAATAAATATCATCATCTTTAAAAAACACCAAATACAATGTACTTTCCTGATAAGACACAACATAAATATGAACATAAAAATTTACGAAAAAGCAAGGTAAGAACAAGGATCTAAAGCAATTTAAATACATCTTTGCCAGACATGGTGGTGCACACCTGTAATCCCAGCACTGGAGAGGCTGAGGCAGGAGGATCTGAAAGTTCAAAGGCTACATAGTGAGTTCAAGGCCAGCCTAAACTACATATGGAGGCACTGTCTCAAAGAAACAAAACAAAACAAAACAAAACAAAACACCAGCCTTTGGGGGAAAAAATAACTTCAGCAAATAAATTCAGAGGAAAAATTATTTTGAAGGCTCCCAGAAAGACTTCAACACCACATCAAACCATACCCTGTTCACTTTCTTGTTAGCTTTAAGATCCAAAGAACAAAAATGAAAACAAAACAGGATAAATAAAAAATATACATCATCATCAACATGGATAAAAGGCTCAGGAAAAATAACAGCAATCCTGAAATTTCACCCACTGGTTTTGGTACTGCATACCAGGGAGCAAACCAAAAGGCTGAAACATTATCAACCTTGAGGGTAAATTCTTCAAATGATCTACTCCTGTAAGTCCTCAATCTCAAGTTCAGTATTTTAAAAATCTAGAGGAAAGTATAAATATGTTAAAAGTGGTTGCACAGAAAGTTTTAAAAAGTACAAATGAAAGTTCAAAATGTAAATGTAGTAGGATTATATTTTTATAAATTTCAAAACAAATTCAGAAATATTCTCAAGTTTTTAACAACAGCTGCTTCCAGTTATTCACCAAACAGTACTGGGCATCTAGTACACAGCATCATGTTAGGATAAAATGAAAACAGTAACAAGTCTGTCTTTACAGAGCTAGAAGTACGGATATGAATAGGTAAGATACACATAAATAATTGTAACATGAAGGAGACATGATATAAGAAACTACTTTGATATAAGAAGTACAAATAAAGATAAAAAGGAATAGCAATTATGAAACCTGGAATGTATATTTAGTAGATGCTCCTATAAATACTTAAATATGTACAGTTTCATATTAAAATATTTAAAATATCATTTCAATTAATATCTTACTGATTTTAGGATTTCTGATCTCCGTTTTGATTGAAGAACATTAATCTGAGGGAAAATACACTTGATTAATCACTCATGCATCATTTTAAAAACTAATCCATAATACAATATTGCAATATTTGCATATTCTAATAGTTCAATTCTTTTCTAAAAATGAAATAAAAACAAAACTCAAGTTTTTCATCTTTTGACCCTCATTCTGCAGAAACAGTTAACATAAACATACCAATGAAATTCTGAACCATCTTTGAGCTCAATGAAAAATTAGCCACTTAAGTTACAATATTGTAGCGATAGAACTATTTTGACTTTTTTTTTTGGTACCAGGGATTGAACTCAGGACCTTGCACTGGCAAGGCAGGCAGTGGAACCACTGAGCTAAATCCCCAGCTCCTATTTTGACTTTTGGACTTCTGAGAATTCCATCTTTTCTCCACCCTCCTTATTCTACTTGCACATCAAGGCTCAATATATAGCCTCAATGCAAATTCAAGTTCTCATCACATCTTTCCTGGACTTTGCAGTAGTCTACGAACTACTCTCTCGCGTCCATTCCTAGTCCCCTATGGTCCATTCTTACACAGGCACCATTACCGCTGGCTTAAAACCCCCTCAGTTCCTACCATGTTGAGTAAGGCCTGCTATGATGAGGTCCCTGCCTGCCTCTCCAACCTAGTTTTCTATTAGTTTCCTCCTTTCTGTACTGCAACCACAGCCCAAGACTGTCCCCATCTCAAAGCCTTTGTCCTAGCTCTTCCACCTACATGGAAGGTCGCCTGTCTTCATGAGTATGAGGCTGACTCTCACCAACCAGGTCTCAAATTCCATTTCCTTACAAAGGTCTAATGCGGTCCCTTACACATTGTTTAGTACATAAACTTTCTTTCTTTAACCTTATATCTTCTTATGGTCTTTTCCCAGGCTAAAGTATAAGTTCCATGAGATCAGAGCCATTCCTTATTCTCAGCTTTAGTCCCCAGGCAGCACATAATAAACACTCAATAAATATTTGTTAGAGTAGTGGATCTTAAATATTTTAATTAGACTAAACTTATTGAAAGATCAGTAAATTAAGAGAACTGCTTTTTGGGATCCTCTTCCAACTCTAGAAACATGATAAACATTTTTGTCTGTTATTAAATATCAGCTTAATGAAATAAAATGCTTATCTAAATCATTCACTTTTGTTAATATTTTCAAGATTACAGAGTATCTCTTTATATGTCCTTCCTACTGAATTCTCTGCCTACTTTTTAAGATAATTTAAACCACTGACTAGAAAACAAAAACCAAGAAATGGTTAAATAACCTTTCTCAACTAAGCATTAGTTTCTTCTACATATGTTTCTCAAGATATTGTTGGGTGAAGAAGCTAACTTAGAACTGTCAGATGAACACCAAATGAAGCAGGTAATTTATCAGGTATAAGTTTGAAAATAATAAATATTTTAGCTAAATGCTTTCCTACACAAAATTCATAACATTTAAGTCTTTCACTCTTTGAAAAAACATTTACTTCATATATTTTTGCCAACCACTAAACTACAAACTAGGGACACAATCTAAGAATAGAAAAGATATAAATACATGTTTACAGTAAATGTGGTCAGTGAGCTAACTGCACTGCATATGAAAATATTATGGCAACACAGATAGAACAGAGGTGAGAACAGTTCATTCTGCCTGGAGAAGATGTGAGTAACTCCGACCACAGGCCAGAGTGTGAATCAGAGATGGGCAGGAAAAACAGTGCAAAAAAAGGCCATGTTTATGAGAACATCCTACTAATATTCTAGTTGAGAAGCAGCAAGACTGGTACAGCGGCAAGGGGAAGGAAAAAACCATATTTACGAAGTATATAAGAGGAATTTCCAAGATATTTTGGTGGCTATCACCCATTTTGAACTTCTATGAGAATAAGCGGGTAATGTCACATACTTAGAAAAGGCCAAGAGAGAAAGAAAAGCCATTTTGGAAGATGACAGATCTCAGTTTTAGATACTGAATGTGGTACTTCTGTGAAAAATGGATTTTGTCATTTATGTACAGGTAGCAATTAGAGCCTAAGACATGATGAGACTGTCAAGAGAGTAATAAAGAAAAGAACAGAACCAAAATGGAACCCTTAAAAGGAGACTAAAAAGTAGACAGACAAAGGAAAAAGTTCAAGGCAGAAACCAAAAAGAAGCAAGAGAACCTAAAATTGAGTTTCAGATAAATCAAGATAAACATATTTCAAGAAGCAGAGTGTGATCTACCATTTCAGTGAATGAGAACAGTCACATGGGCCAAGGACTAAAATACATGTAATGAGTAAGACCTGTGCATAGCCATGTCAGCGAAGGGTGCTGGGAAGGCCGAGGAATTACTTGCAGAAGGAAGGAGCACGAACGGCAGGCAGAAAACAAGACAGACTCTTTCATTCTAGAAGCCTTTCATCCATGAAGGGAACAGACTGCATTTTTAACAATTTAACTTCCCACAGGAACTTAGAGAAAACTTCAAGTTCATTTTCTACTGTTTTGCAATTACTCAAAGTCATGTTTGCAATTAATCAAGTCACTTTTTACCACTAATTTGTGTATACTTATGTTTTTCTTTTTAAGAAATAATCTGTGATCACTGTGAAGCCAACCGTCTCTGAGGTCACGGCTGTTTGTATCAGGAGATCTGGGCAAGATAATTCCCTAACCCTTAAAGCTTTTAAGCTTTGAACTCCATGATATATAGACAGACATAGTGTACTTGTAAAATAATACATTGTGGGGTCATTTTCAATATGTCTCGAGTTCCACTGCAGACCTATCACATTCAAACTAGTCTCCATTATTCACGGGACAAGAAGGTCACTTAACACCTTACCAAAACCAACTCTCTAGCTTTTTCATTGGTTTTGGTTTTGGTTTTTTGAGGAGCTGGGGGTGGAACCCAAGGCATCACACATCGTAGGCAAGTGCTCTATCACTGAGTTACAACCTTCAAATCCAGATCTCTAGCTTTGAAAATGCACAACTGATGAAAAAAAGAAAAACACTATTCTAGAAATATTTTTCATTGAGTGATAAAGTGAGTCTTGATATCACAAAGAATCTAAAGAAATAAGTAAAAATGTGATAAACAAAGTATATATAAGGATGTTATTATTACAAACAATTATTTAAAGTTATAGTTTTACTACTCCAGTAAAAACTAGCAACACCTTAAAAGTCTGACAGTCAAGTATCAATTGGGAACTACATAAAATATTTACAGTAATTTTTAAAATGCTTTCTAAAAACATTTGAAAATGAGGGAAGTTTTAATTAAGAGGAAGAAATCTGAACTAAAGGCACACACAGAGTATGTACATACACAAAAGCATATATAGATAGGTGACATTTTTCCAGAAAACCTCATGTTTCAATTTTAAACTCAAAGAAAAAGTATTATTTACAGTGCAATCACTCAAAACTGACACCCTACTTAATAAGCACTGTTTGAAATCATAATAAAATATCTACCTGAAGTACATAGTCAAGGGCTATGTGTCGAAAACATTTTCTTGTTGCTGTAAGAATGTTTGTGGCTTCTTCAACTTCGTGCTGTTTGTTTCTTTGTACTTGGGCATTTTTTACTAATGCATTTTCCTTTTCTTCACTGACTTTTTCAAATTGCTTCTTGGCATCTTTGAATTTTCTAAGATCTCTAAAAAACAAAAACTTAGTGAAGCTTTCTTTCACGAAACTTTGTTATTTTAAAACTCTGGCAAAATAATTTTAGAACTTAATTCTTACGATCCTCCATTTATTTGTTTCATCATGCACTGATATGCACTAAGCTCTTCCAAATAAACCATATATTATTCCCCAATAATAGGTTCAGTAGCCCTTATCTCATCTAAAATGCTTGGGACCACAAAAGTTTCAGATTTCAGAGCTTTCTGGACTTGAGAATATCTGTATAGATTTTACCAGTTGAGCATCCCCAATCCAAAAATCCAAGCTTGGTGATCAAAAGGTTTCAGATTTTGGATTCAGAGCATTTCAGATTTCAGATTCAGGCTAGAGAATGCATATTATTTCAATCGATGTGAAAAAAATGATCAAATTAACAAAAAGATAAACTTAATTTTTTCTAAAAATAAATTCAGGGATATGTACCACTATTTAACTAAATGATTTTTTTTTTTTTGGTACCAGGGATCCAACTCGAGACCTTGCGCCTGATAGGCAGGTGGTGGAACCACTGAGCTAAATCCCCAGCCTGGAGTCTTTGTTTTAATCTTGAAAGGCCACTAGATTTTTCTCTTTACATTAAAAAAATTTTTTTAACCCTATGTCACCCCTCACTACATATTTTGGACACATACTCATGGCCTAAAATCCTAAAATGATTCACTGAAAGACATGAAACCTGATTCTCTACAGTAACTCAGAAATAAATACAATATACGTTTTACAAAGCAAACAAGCAAAACTTTCAGCATTTTCAGTAATTTGTGGTTCATGATTTCTTTTAAAAGAAGCCACTTTCCAGATGCAATCATAAACTAGTTGCTTTTATTTCCCCTTCATTGCAACTAACTTACTCTTTTTTTTTCTTTTTTCTTTTTTGAAAAAATAAAACTCTCACAACCAAATAATAAGAGGATAACAATAGTTATGACATGGTGTTTTGTTATCTTCAAAGCAGATAATCAGTACAAGACATATACCAAAAAGATTCTTACTCTTTAACAAAGTTCTGAAGCTGTGCCTTAATTGATCTTTGAGTTTGGTCAAACAGGATCTAAAATATAAAATGTAACATTGAGTGATTAGGAAAGTAAATAAAGAAAATCATTTTCTTGTACTTCTATAAATACCACATCCTTTCATCAATACTCCAATTCTCATAACATCCATATTTCTTCTTATTGAATACTAGCAAAAAAGCATTTTTTTTTTTTTTTGGTACTGGGGATCGAACTCGGGACCTTGTGCCTGCAAGGCAGGCGGCAGAACCACTGAGCTAAATCCCCAGCCCCCAAAAAAGCATTTTTAAAACAACCTGGAACCAGTCAATTTCATCTAATTCAAAAATAAACTTGCTCTATTCACAGAGGAAAATAAATCTGTTTTAATATTTAAATAGAATGCTGAAACTGTAAAGCAACCCATTTTCTTAATTCTAATTCAGGGTTCTGGAGAAACTTAAAAGGATAATACCTATTCCACTCCATCTACTGCAGATGTGTCTTACTCCCATAGATGGAAGCACCCCAAATGAAAACTACTCAGAATGTCTCATAGCTTAGGTAGAGGTTTTCAATTTGAGAAGTCTTAGGAACTTAAACGTCACATATTCTGACTTCCTTTAAGTTAAAGGATAGCTAGTATTAGAGACAAGAATAAAATCTTATTCCTCAGGATGGTATTTTGCCCTACTTAAATGATGCCCCACACTTAACACTGATAGCTCTATATAAAGTCAATTTCATAGGACTTGTTAATGAAATTTTCAAGTACTATCATAATTTACAATTTAGAGTTTAAAAGTTTTAAAGTTTAAAGTTTTAAAGTTTCTCTAATTTACATTTAGAGTTTAAAATAGAGATAAATGGGAACAAAAATGAATGTTCAAACAACAACAACTATCTTGTGTCCTTCTAATTAGAAACAGCACTATGCTGGGCATGGTAATGTACACCTATAATTCCAGCTACTCAGGAGGCTGAGGCAGAAGGATGGAAAGCTTCAGCCCAGTCTGGGCAACTTAGTGAGACCCTGTCTCAAAATAAATAAAAAGACCTGGGGATGTAGCTCAGCGACAGAGTATTTGCCTAGCATCCATGAGGTGCTGGATTCAATTCCAAGGGGAGCAGAGAGGAAAGGAGGGGAGGAAGAATTTGATCACTCAGGTAGAATTGAAGAAATAGAATCTAGGTATTAAACACTGCATAAAGCTAAAGCTACACTAGCAATCCTACTCTTAAGTATTTGTCCAAAAGAAATTAAAACTTGGGTTCGTACAAGTACCTGTATGCAAATGTTTACAGCAGTTTTATTCCTAACTGCCAAATATGGAAACAAAATAAATATCCTTGAATCACAGAATGGAGAGGCAAACCATGGTATGTTCAGACAATGGAATACTACTCAGTAATAAAAAGGAATAATTATAAGTAGATACAACAGAGATGACTCTAAGCATATACTAAGTAAAATAAGTCATATTCAAAAAGCTACAAGCTGTACAAGTTGTATGACATTTAGGAAAAGGCAAAACTGTAAGAACAGAAAGCAAGGAGCTGGGGATTTAGCTCAGTGGTTTCGCCGCCTGCTGCGCAAGCACAAGGACCCGAGTTTGATCCCCGGTACCAAAAAAAAAAAAAAACAACAGAAAGCAAGTCATTTCCAGTGGCAGGAGGAAGAGTGGACTAAAGAAGGCAAAGAAGGACAATGTGAGAGTGTCCTGAGAGTTGATGCAACTGCTGAGCATCTTGATTGTGGAGACTTAAACATACGTATTTGTCAAAACCTATAAAGTTACACACCACAAGAAATCAATTTTGTTACATTTAAATTTAAAAATAACTTCAAAATATTAAGAACAAGAGTATAAATAAGAATCAACACATTTTTAATGAATGAAAAAGAAACAACATGATTATCTTAGTTGACTGAAAGCACAGCTATAGAAATACAAACTCCTGGGCCGGGGATTCAGCTCAGCGATTCCACCGCTTGCCTCGCAAGCACAAGGACCCAAGTTTGATCCCCAGTACCAAAAAATAAATAAATAAATTAAATTAAAATTTTTTAAAAAAAGAATACAAACCCCTTAGCAGAGTATGGTAGTGCATGCCTGTAATCCCTGCACTCTACAAGGCTAAGGAAGGAGGATCACAAGTTCGAGCTCAGCCTGGACAACTTAGCAAGACTGTGACTAAAAATAAAAAATTTTTAAATGGCTGAGGATGTAGCTTGAAGTTCCTGCGTTCTATCACCAGTGGGTGGGTGAGTTCAGTGAGGGGGAACAAGAAGGAGGGGGAAGAAGAGGAGGAAAGAAAGAGAAAAAGGAATGAGGGAAGAAATGGAGGGAGGAAAGGAAGGAAATATAAAACCCATGAAAAGGGAACACCTATGCTTCTCAGAAACACTACCCCAACATTTGTGAAAACTGACCACATTATAGGGCATAAAGCAAGGGTATGGCAGCACATAGAACACACTCACTGAGCTCAATGACATTAAGCTACACTGCAAAACTTTTGTTGGGAGGGTTGTTTGTTCTGTTGTTGCAGTGTGGTGCTGCTGCTGCTGGAGTTGGAACCAGGGCCTTGCACATGCGGGGCAGGCGCTCCACACAGAGCTACACTCCTGCCCACCACAAGGTATTCAGACAATAGCCACTGACAGGGACGGATCTCAAAAAGTTTATTCCAAGTGAAAGAAGTCAGTCAGTCTCTCTCTCCCTCTCTCGCTCTCTCTCACACACACATACACACAATACATGATTCCATTTATACGACATTACAGAAAAATTAAATTAGTTTATGGAAGATAATCAGAACAGTAAGTTCAACATGGCACTAGAAATTCTAGCAATGCTACAATCAGTCAAGAAATAAAAAGTGTACAGAATAGAAGTATAAAATTGTCTTTATAGTTGAAATGATCAATTATTTAGACAGCACTATAGAATCTACCAAAAGAATCTACTAGAACTAGTAAGTGAGTTTAGCAAAGTTGCAGAAACAAAGTCAACATGCAAAAATCAGTTGTATCTCTATATACTGGCAAAGACCAATTAAATATTGGACTTAAAAATAGCAATGACAAGAATGCTTAGGAAGAAATCTATCCCAAGGAAAAAAGAGTATTTTTTCCTGTGTATTATCACTGTTTTAAAACTCAAAAACATTACCATCTACATCCTCCAAAATATAGCATTATCAAAATAAATTTTATAGCCAGGCATGATAGTGTACATCTGTACTCCCAGCACTCGGGAACCTGAGGCAGGAGGTTTGCTGAGTTTGAAGCCAGCCTGGGCAAGATAGTGAGTTCAAGTCCAGCCTGAACTGCATAGCGAGACCCTGTCCCCAAAAAACCAAGAACTAATTTATTATATTAAATTAATTTTATATGCATTTGAATAGAATCAGAAGTATTTCAAGGAACTGATATATATTTATCAAGGAATTGATAAGTATGTATATATATATACATATATGCACATATATACACACATATACACACATATACCTATATATATATAAATGTCCCCCCTCTCCAGATAGGGTCTTGCTATGCTCCCCAGGTTGGTCTCAAACCAAGTAATCCTTCCACCTCAGCCTACCGATTAGCTGGGACTGAAGATGTATGCCACCATGCCCAGCTGCAGCCCATGCATACACATACACACACACACACACACACACACACACACACACACACGCACGGGGTTTTTTCCTATTAGCATGTATATATTTTTTTCTTTTTTTTCTTTTTCTTTTGAGACAGGATCTCTCTACATAGTTCAAGCTGGCCTTGAACTTATTATGTAGCCCAGGCTGGCCTTGAACTCATGGCAACCCTCCTGCCTCAGCCTCCCAAGTGCTGGCATTCCAGGCATCAGCCACCACGCCCAGCTCTTAGCCTGTATGTTTTTAATATCTTCAACAGAGTAAAAGTACGTGGTAAATTCAGAGGGAACTGTTGTTCTATCCACTACTTGCCAATTTCAAGCCATCCAGCTACAGTTCTTTATTTTTCTGTAATGAACTGCTGCACAGAACTGTCTCAATCAGCTACTACGTCAACACAATTCCTAAATCACTATACCTTGCTAAGAGAGAACTCAGTGTATCTTTTCACATGCTAAAAGTAAACAATTATAACCACTACCAACAGAAAAGCTGTGAGCTACAATAGACCTTTCTCCTTTAACTTTGGGTGTCTGGTATTTTGTCTCAGCAACAAGAAAAGTAACTAAGACAACTGATATTGAAAAATAAATAAAAGCAAGGCACCTGATTTGGCCTATAAGCCATAGTTCACTCTGGAAGAGTGGTTCTCAAACTATAGGGTACAACAGAATCACCTGGAGGTTTCTCCAAACACCAATTGTTGGCTTCCAGCCTTAGAGTATCTGTTTACTTTGACCTGAGTGGGCTCAGAGAACCTGGAGTTCCAACACATTTCCTATGGTATCAGTGCTGCTAAACCAGGGCTGCTCTGTAAGAATCACTAATATAAAACTCCAGCAATGGTTCTCAAACTTTACCAAAGGTCTGAATCACCTAGCATTTTAAAATTTTTAAATTCCTCCCATCCCTGAAGGTGCACACCACTCTTCCACCAAGAGGTAGTTTTTTCCCTTATCTATGAAACGGATATGGCCTATTATTAACACATGTTGTGTTACATATTTAAACAATTTATTTTACTATTATTTTTCCTTCATAATGAGTAACATTTGTATTAAATACTTACATTGATTCTGAAAAGTCATTTTATTCAGAAAACAAAAAAAGTACTCCAAAATTCTCTTCTTCAACCTAAACTTCTTTTCTCATCAAAAAGTTATTGAATAGGGCTGGGGTGCAGCTCAGTGGTAGCTTGCCTATTGTGCGTGAGGCCCTGGGCTTGATTTCTATCCCTTTAAAAATAAATTAAATTAAATAAAGCAATGGTGCCAGGGATTTAGCTCAGTGGTTCCAGTGCCTGCCTCGCAAGCACAAGGTCCTGAGTTCAATCCCCAGTACCAAAAGAATAAATAAATAAAAATAAATAAAGCAGTGG